GCTGTTGAGCTGGCGCAGCATCACTGAGGGGAGCTGATGAAGCGCAGCGGATCTGCGCTGTGTCAGTAGGTGACCGTGCTTAATAAGCTTTAAGTTTGTTAAGAAGGGGGCGCGCCTGACTGGCTCAGTCGGTAGAGCGTGGGACTCGTGATCTCAGCCCTACGTTGGGCGTGGATAGGGGGGTGGTGGCTATCATTTAACAAAAACAAAACAAACAAAAAACAATTACCAAAAAACTATAAAAAAATAGATTTGTTAAGAAGTCAGATCTCATGTGAAGTGTTCTTACCATAATAAAAAATTGGGTGGGGGTCTGTTTCAAGGACCAACTTAATTTTTAGGAAGCCAGATGTATTTCATTGTCCAAGGATTTGCAGATATATTACCCTTGCGTCCACTCAAGGGAAGATGTCAACATTTCCCTCCTCCAGTTTCTTTTTTCTTTTCTTTCTTTCTTTTTTTTTTCTTTAATCTAAGTCATCTCTATGCCCAGCGTGAGGCTCAAACTCACCACTCGAGATCACGACTGTCATGCTCTCCCGATTGAACCAGCCAGGTGCCACTATCTTGAGCTCTCATCCCCTTGTCACTTACACTCAGGCCCCCTCTCTTGACCCCGTCATGGTGACACTCCAGGACCTTACCTGTCAAGCTGTCCCCGGCTCAATGCCTCTCCTCTCCCAGTTTTCATCTGGCTTGTTTCTGTCCTTCCTTCTGGATCTTAGCTTCTACCTCACACTCAGAGAGCTTTCCTGTTCTCAGACGTGGGTAGTTCCCCCAACTGTGTGTGCAAAAGCACCCTGCACTTGACTCCTCATACCTTTTCTCCCTCTTAAATTCCGTCTGAGCTCTCTGTCCCCAGAGACAGCGAAGACTTGATCTTGTTTACTGTCATAGCCCCAGCTCTTGGCACAGGTGCCCAGTGAATATCTGCTGAGTGAACACCTGGGTGACGTTTTATTTTCTCTTAAGATCCTTGCCAGTTGAAGAGGCAGACTGCTTATTCCTTGACGGTCTACAGTGGTGTTGCTCGGACGGTCTAACTCCCTTGGAGGGTGTGTACGGGCAAGACACTGCACGCGAGCGCGCGCATGGTGCTGGCTGGTCTTACGGCCTGAGGCCTTTTCAGTGCCTCTCTGGCCTTTCATTCAGGGGATGCAGATATGGGAAGAGTGGAATTGTTCTTTCTTTTTTTAACAAATAAGCTACTTGCAAACTCTGGTACTTTTTTTTTTCTACAAAATTCTTTGGAATGCATCTCACATCTCCCCAGAATGCACCCCAGAACTACTCACAACATACCACTGCCTGAATTGAGGCAACAAAACTGAGAACCTTAGGTCTGTACTCAACAAGAGGACCTGCTAAATAAAGATCTGGATTCAAATTTGAGGTGGTATTTGCTACTAATATTAATTTTGACACCTCTCAAAAGCTCCGTGGTACATCAGTGACTATTGGGAGGAGCAGGGAATCGAGTGCTATAACACGGTTGTTAAAAGAGTTGAGACTTGGCAGTCAGACAGACCTGGTTTAGGATCCCCAGGCTGCCACACCAGCACTGTGACATTGGACAAGTCACTTACCTTGTATGAGCCTCAGTTTCTTCATCTGTAAAATGGGAATGATGATAGTTCCTACCTCTGATGGTTATTATGAAAGTTATATAAGCTGATCTGTGTAAATCACCTTAACTCTCTTTTCTGGAGGAGGTAGGTTGAAAATTGATGTCCAGGTTGGGATCGTCTATTTCAAAGGAAGAGGAGAAAGCCGGGAACCTGGACCCATTTTTCTCTGCTCATCTGTACGTTCCCAGAGGGCGGAGGCCGTGTCTGGTGTATCTTGTGCCTACGGTGCCCAGCTGATAGATGACTGAACATTTATAAGGGACACTTAGAGATCCAAGGTTCTGTATTTGTTTTTGTTTGTTCAAGATTTTATTTTTAAGTAATCTCTATACCCAACGTGGGACTTGAACTCACAATCCTGAGACCAAGAGTCGCATGCTCCATCAACTGAGCCAGCCAGGTGCCCGTCTATATTTATTTTTAATGTGCAGGCCGGACAGAGAAGAATGGCTACTGAGCAGAGGACACCAGAAAGAAAAACTCAAGCTAACTGCCAGGAATGGCACTAGAGAATTCCACCAACCTTTATGCAAGTCGTTGGGATTTGGTAGGAAGTAGGGTAAATCTACTCAAATAGCCGGTGTCTCCCATTTCCATAAGACCTGTTTTAGGACCAAGAGATTCCCCGAAGTGGAGCAAGAAAGGGTAGAGCCCAGTGGGGATATGGCTTTTGATTCATGCATCTTTCTCCACAGGCTGCTGAGAAGGGTCATGTGGACATTTGCTCCCTGCTGTTGGAACACAGCCCAGCCCTGAAGGCTGTCCGGGATCGGAAGGCACGACTAGCATGTGACCTGCTGCCCTGCGACAGTGACCTGTGGGACCTGCTGGCCACCTGAGCCGCCACCTTTCTGTCTCAGGCTGCCGTGCAAGAGGACCCAGACTAGCCCTCCTAGCCCCTGCCTTGGCCAGCATCCGTGCTGCAGGGTGGGAACCTGAGGCCTGAAGAGCCCTATTCTGGCCACTCGGGGAGCGAGGGAGTAGATGCGGGGCTGTAAGTGCTTAAGCCTGGACAGATGATCATATTCTAAATTAGTTCACGTGGAAACACTATCCGTTTGGAAAAAATAAAGTTGTATCCTTACCTCATCCCATGCACAAAAATAAATTTCAAGTAGATTAAAGACCTAAGTATAAAAACAGAACTACGTAAGTATTAGAAGAAACTGGGACATATGACAAAAGCTGCTTTCTAGCTGAATGTCCTTGGGAAAGGTCACTTTGCCCATCTGTCCCTGCTTCCTCATCTGTGAGGTGAGGATGATTATAACAGGGCCTGCTTCGGTGGCCTTGCGGAGGTCAAATGAGCGAATATGTGGAGGGCACCAGAGTGTGCCAGGCATGCTGCACGCTGTCCGAGCGCACACTTCCTCACCTTTCCTTTTAACAACCGAATAGACTAACAAGTGCTGTTGCTTCGTTGTGCATTGCTAATGACCGCCTGTCTTCGCTGAACTTCCTGTCCATAACTACGGCCTGTTTAAAGATTTTCTTCCTTTTATTGATTCATAAGGAGTTACGTATTCTGGATATTAATCTTGTTTTTTATATATATATATATATATATATATTTTTTTTTTTTAACCATCACTTTGTTGGTATCTGTTCATGGAATTCGGTACACCCACCATAGACGGGAGTTTGGGAATATCTATTAAAATTTAGATGAGGGCCAATAATTTCTCTGTAGCTACCTAGAGAAATACCCACGTATACAAAGATAATTTACTTACAGAGACATCTACAGAGTTGTGCTATAATGTAAGGAAGAAAGGAGGTAAGCTCAGTGTTCCCTGCTAGGGAAAGGATTAAATTCTGGTACATGGGTCACTGGAGTGCAGTGTAAGACTAACAGGGAAAGTGTGCTAAGCTGCAGTCACAGTATGATGCCTCTTAAGACCCGTCTATGGAAACCTGCATGTACGTACACAAAATTACAGGAAAAAAGTCGAGGATATATATTACACTGGCACCTGGGGTGTCTCCTGGTCTGCTGTGGTGAAAGTGGTTTGTCAAGTGCGTCTTGAGCTTTATTCTGTTTGTTTTTTACAAGGAATAACTTTTTTGTAAGAATTAATACCAGTCAGTTTCCTGTGGAAGAAACTAGTTTTCTGGTGAGAATTTCAGATGAAGGGTGTTGGTGTAAGATGCCCTTGTCCTTGAATGTTGAAGGAGAGGAGTTTTAGAGTCGGCAGATAGTAGAGACCAAAGCCAAAGTCTGTCTTGTCTTACCCTCACTCTAGTCTAGGCAGCTCTCCCTTTTCATAACCAAAGGCAAGAAATCACCTTTGACAAAAACCCCTGATGCATAGGGACTGAGTTTCTTTTAAAAGCTCTGGGTTCCCTAAGTCTCAGAACTTGGATGTATTTACTGAGAAGCCAGCCATGGGTGGAACCATTCCCAGCCCTATGGGGCCTTGGGCTGTCCTTGACCTGTAGTTCTCCCTCTCGTTCTGGTCATCCCTGCTCATATAGCTCCAGTTCTGGAGTCTTACTTACGATCAGATTTCCTTTCAAAGGTCAAGGCAGAATTCAAGGCCCAGCTGGGTGAAGGGCATGCTGGGCATCTTAAATGAGGAAGTTTGACTTTGGTGGCTTGAGACAGGTTGATTGGTGACTAGATTAATGGCTAACATCTCAGTCCAGCTTCCCTGTGGGATGGCGTGCTCCCTGCCCAGGAGAGCAGGAAGGGACCTGCATGTGTGGGGCGTGGAAGGCTTTTCAAGAGGCAGGGGCTGCTGATGACAGACTGGACTTGGCTCCTGGCCGTGGTGTAGTTTAATACGCTGGCTCTCGGAGTGGTGAGGGAGAAGCGGGGGGCGCCTGGGGAAGGAAAGCAGAAGTATGGAGGGCAGCCTTGAAACTGGGAGTGGGGCAGTTGCTTGAAGTCTGATCTCCTGGAGGTGCCATGCAGATTCCTGCCGCAGACGTCAGCCTCTTGGGCCTTTCCTTTCCGGGGTCCTCTCTAGGATTCTGGCTTCCTTTTGCTCAGAACAGGCTGACGGGGTCTTTCAGGGTCTCAGGCACCTAGACCTGTGGCAACATGGAGGCTCACGCTCAACATTTTTCTAGTGGCCCAGGCACCCCCGGCCACACGTTTATTGGTCGAATTACTCCTGAGCAGGTGTAGGGGATGGCACAGGTGCAGGAGAGTGGGTGCCTGACGCTGCACCCGACGCAGCTCAGAGCGGCTCCTGCCTTCAGCGGGCTGCACACCCACATTGGTATTCTGGTCAGCGTCACAGAACCACTGAGCTCTCTGGCCCGGGCACAAGCCCCTGGCCTGCCCTGCCCCCAGGAGCCAGCTCTCCTGTAAGAGGGCTGAGCAGCTCAGCTCCTCTCACTGGGGGCGTGAAGAGCAGGGGGGGGACCATGGACGTCATCAGCATCCAGCAGTTGGTACGGACATACAGCGGTGGGGGTAGGAGGCAGGTCATGGTCTAGACGTCCCCAGGCCTGCCCAGCAGAACGAGGGGGCCCAGCTGGAGGGGGGCAGGCGGCTGCTTCCTGTGGTCGGAGGAGAGGTGTAGGAGCAGAAACACGCAGTTGTTTTCTGTCTGTCCAGTTCTGTGAGGCAGTGACAGACGAAGCAACGGGAAGATACCCGGTGATGGTGTAGACATGGCAGCCCTCGAGTTCAGGGAGTCTTGCCCTGGACTGTGATGGCAAAACAGGAAACAGCAGGCTACTCAGAAGACACGAGCATAGCTGCGGGGATTGAGCTCAGCTGCTGCCATAGCCATTGCTCTGGAAATGGTCCAGGGGGTCTGGCTGCCTTGGTCGGGGAGGAAGAAGGGTGCTCTGAGTTCCCTGGGCGGTGAGAGGAACGGTCACACTGGTGACGCTCTGGGGTGTCTGCTTTGGTGAGGTGGGCCCGGGAGGCCCAGGAGTCACGCTGCCCAGCAAGCCCCATTGCGACCCTGCCCGGTGCAGCTTGCAGGCCCAGAGGAGTGTTAGGTTGCCACCAGCGTTGGCTTTGGAAGAGAATACAGTTTGTTCTCTGTGGCTGGAAGCCCTGTGCTCTGCCATCCTATCATCCCAACCTTTTCCCTCTCCCCTAGAACGCTTATTCCTCAGTGCTCCCCAGCTCCTGAACGCCCGGTGGGGGCAGGAAGGAAGAGCAGATCACTGTACGGTGGGTTCTGGCCCGGTTTCCTCCTCACAGCCCCTTGAGCTGGGTGCTACTTTTACCCCATTCTAGTGATGAAGAAACAGAGTTTCACAAGAGCCAAGATTTGAACCCAGGAATTCAGAATTTTACCCAGGAGGCATCTCTGTTCCTCTGAGCTCAGGGTCAGGTGGCAGTATGGCGTGATCTGATAGGAATGTAAGGACGACAGCCCAGGAGGGAAGCTGAGGTGTCACCTGTCCCAAGCGTGCCTGGACACCAGCCCAGCAGTATAAATAGACACGGTGTCATGCCCCTGACCCTGTGTCCTGCGACAGGACATGGTAGGCGGTAGTTATCCTCCTGGGCCCCGGGCAACACTACAGTGGGTGAGAGCCAAGAGCCATGGGCATCAGGGAGCATGCCAGCAGAGCGCCAGGAAGCTTCGCCAAGGGTCAGGCCACTATGACATCCACAATGCTCTCTCTGTAGGTCACCTCTTGTCAGGATCCCTGTACTGCACAGCTGTTTCCTAAAGCTTCCTCATTTTTCTGAGTCTTTCTCCTTATCCCGCTCCTACAGGTACGTGGAGACAGAGTTGGAAGGAAAGTGTCAGGATGTGGACATGGAGTTCCTGATCCCGGAGGCGGGCCTGGGGCCTGGAGGCTGGGAGCTGAAGAGGCTGTGGCCCGGGAGCGGTGGAAACTGGGAGAAGAGAAGAAGAAAGTGAGCAGTGCTGGGGATGGGGGGTGGCGAGTGCCAACCCCAAGGTGGGCAGGCTCTGAGCCCCGAGGACCTCGGGTGGCTGGGGTCCCTCCTGCAGGTGGGAGAGGCGAGGGCCAGACCAACCCGGAGCCTGCCCCCGAGGCCTTGGCGCCCTGTGGCTGACCGCTGGCCTGCTCTTGTGCCCCAGCTTGAGAGATTTAACAGCTCCAGACGGAATCTGGAGACTGGCTGACTTGAAAAACTTGGTTCAAAGATGGGGAGAGAGGCGACTGAAATGCAGTCCCCCCTAGGGCACGTGAGCCCGTGGTTAAGGTGAGAAGTCGGGGTGGGGGGGGGCTTGAGTTTGTGAGGAAGCACTTCCTGTCGCCGCGGGAGGGCTTGGGGAAGAGCGGACACCGCCAGGGCCTGCTGAGCTGGACAGACTCCGTTCTGGAGGCCCCACAGCCCTCCTGTCTGTTTGCTGGGGCCACACGCACAGTGGCTTCAGCAGCAGAGATTTATTCTCCCAGTTCTGGAGGCTGGAAGTCTGAGATCAAAGTACCGGCAGGGCTGGTTCCTTCTGAAGGCTGTGGGGGAGAATCTGTCCCTGCCAGTCTGCTAGCTTTTGGTGCTTGGTGGCTAGCTTTGGTGTTCCTCGGCTTGTGGGTGCCTCACCCCAATCTCTCCTGAGTTCACAAGGCACTCACACTGTGCCCGCTGTGCCCACGTGTCCCCTTTCATTAAGGACACCAGTCATTGGATTAGGGCCCACTTTAGTCCAGTGTGACTTTATCTTAATTACAGCCTCAATGACCCTATTTCCAAATAAGGCCACATTTTGAGGTCCTGGGGTTGGGACTTCAACATACAAACTTGGGGCCAGGGGGCATGGCAACCGATAATGGGCGTAATAGGTCTCATCGGTCCGAATCTGGGGGAGGAAGGGAGTTAAGAATTACGGTTTGTACCAGCCACCAACCAACATGTAGTCCTCAGCTGGCTCTCAGGAGCTGCTCGGCTAGACTGGTGAAGACTGCGGTTTGCCAAAGTGATTTGGTCTCGCCCTGTAACCTACCCAGCCGCAGCCCCAGGCCCAGCCGGAGTCTGTGGAGGACCTGGAGATGCTCCTGAAGGCAGCTGCCGAGAGCCGGGAGGCCCTGACTGGCAAGTACCTGGTAGATGGAGGGGACCCCAGTGCCCATGACAAGGTAGCAAGTGGGGGAACTCGGACTACAGTGTCAGAGCTGCAGGGGTGCCATCCTCCGTGTGTTCCAGTCCTGGCCTGGGAAACTGCGGGCCTTTCCGGAGCCGGGAGGGAGGGGCCCTCGGTGTGAGCAGGAGCTGGTGCGTCCTTCTGGGGAACCTAGTCCTGGGACTAGGGCCCAGGGCCGGGCCTCTAGGGGGCGGCCGTGCTCCCTCTGCCTGATGTCCCGTCTCCACCCCCAGCTGCACCACGCCGCCTTGCACTGGGCCTGTCCGAAGGGTCATGGCCAGCTCGCGACCAAGCTGATGGAGGCAAGTGCTGTGGACACTCGCGACTTGGTGAGAACTGGGGAGGGGCCACCGTCACGGCAGACCCCGTCCCGCACCAGAGCGTGTCTGTGCATCGGTGCTTTTGTTTGGTAGCTGGACAGGACGCCGGTGTTCTGGGCCTGCTGTGGAGGACACCTGGACATCCTCAAACAGCTGCTTAGCCAGGGAGTCCAGGTCAACGCCCGGGACAGGGTGAGGGGTGCGCTGCTGCGGGGCGGCCTGTTCCCAGGGAAGAGAAAGCACAGCCCCTCGGTGTTATAAGGCAGCCTCCCCCTGGGGGGGCAGTGACAGGAATTCTCACCCCTTAGATCTGGAGCACCCCCCTGCACGTAGCCGTGCACACGAGACACTGTGACTGCCTGGAGCATCGTCGCATGTGGACCCACACTGATGCCCAGGACAAGGCAGGTGCTTGCTGTTTGGTTTGGGTCTGCTCCACCAGGGGATGGGGACTCAGGGAGCCTGAGTTCGGGGACTGCTCATGCCCACTGGACACTGCGGGGGGGGGGTGTCAGGAGGATGAGCCCCCTTTCCCCAAAGGAAGGGGACATGGCTGTGCATGAGGCTGCGTGGCACGGCCACTACAAAGCCACATCGGTGCCGCTGCTCTGGGGGGGCCAGGCTACGTAATGTACTAGGCCCCCTGGTCTGAGGAGGGTGGGGGGCTCCTTCGCAGGAGAAAAGGACTGATCCTGGGCCCTTGTTCCCAGGCTTCGGTGACCTCGGGGCAGCTGGCGCGAGATGGGCAGCGGGGCATCCGGGAAGCACTGCAGGCCCCCCGCGGGGCACCCTCGCACCCGGTCCTGCCGCCCACAGCCCCGCACGGTCACTTCTCAGCCACCATTCCACCCTTCACAGTCGTCCGCACCCCTCTGTGGTCTTCGTCCCTCTGGCCAGCCCCGCCCAGCAGGTGACAGAGCCGGCTTCCCTGGCTCCAAGGGTTGGCAAGGACTTGCTCCCTGCTGCGCTGTCGCCAGGAAGGGCGGACACGGGGAACCCCGGGGAAGCCGGACACAAAGCGGGTCCTCAGTGGCCCAGGTTGGAGCAACACTGAAGAGTCCTAAGCCTCGAGCTGCCCAGGGCTGGGCGCTCGATGTCCCCCCATCCTCCGCCTGGGCCCCTCCCTCCACAAGGGCCAGTGTCCCGCCCAGCCACCATCCAGGCCACACCGCTGTGGGGCACCACGCAGCTGGCCAAGGCCCTTGGGGCAGGGCTTTCTCTGGGGACTCCACTGCCCCCAGCTCCAGCCAGCTCAGGCCTTCTGGCTCCTGGAGCTGGGTGTGGCAGGCTGGAGGGGGTGCCTGACGGGGTCAAGACCCCACTGCCGCACCCGCCCAGTACCAGCCTGGTTGCCTCAGAAGCCCCGACACACAAGCCAGAGCTCACGTTTATTTTCAGGAAACCTCGTGCCCACATCTGCAGGCCTTGGTCCACCTGCCTGCTGCTCTCTAGCTGGCCAGCTGATGGCGCCCCGTGCCGGGGTGACATGCCTGGGAGCTGGGGATTGCTCGTGGCCCACCCAACTTTCGGGGTGGCAGCCCGCAACCCTCCTTTGCCCCAGGCAACGTCACTCTAGCACTAGAGCCTGAGCCCTGGCCTGGGCCGCGTGGCCGCACCTGCTCGGCCCTGAAGGGGAAGCAGAGAGTGAGCAGCACCCCTCCTGCTCCCCCATCTCTGCGTGGGGGCAGGGTCAGGACCCAGCTGCACACAAGTTCTCACACTTCCTTCCCCTCCCTGCCTTTTCTCTTTCACGCCGCGCTGGTGGAGACCCATGCTGCTGGCGGGGCTGGGCCCTGAACTGGCACAAAGTGAGTTTTAAGGAACTCTGCCCTAAATGGAGAACCACAGGCGGAGGGACCGGCTGATGAAGAGTCAGGCTCCCTTATGTACGTAAAGTACCTGGATGGACATCCCTTTTGCAGTTCTCTCTAGTCTAACGCGGCGGCCTTCTTGGGCCAAGCACAAGGCTATTCTCACTATGTGAAAAAGTGACTACAGCCCTCACGCACCTTCTCTTGCCACAGGCAGCTCCAGCCCTGCAGGGAACTGTGGTGACAGTTCAACCAGGTGCTGGAGCCAATAGGAGAAGCAGGTGTTCAAGTTCATGGAGAAGACGACTCTCCCCATCTAGAAGATGGGGACCCTTTTATACACTTCGTTTTTTGTTCATTAAAACTGTTGACTATCCATCACAGCCTAGTTGTTCTGGGCTGGAGGGTGGGGGCAGCTCATTAGGCCCAGGACCTGGTCTTCCTCAGCAGCAAAAGCTCAACCTGTTAACTGTATGGGCCTGACAGCAAGACAGGCCCCCAAGTGCAGAGTGGGGCATCCAGGCACTTGGCTCTTGTGCTCAAGGCATCTCTCCGCTCGTTGATGGCCAAGTTCAAAGAGCAGTGGTTCTCAGCCTTGGCTGCTTATCACAATCACAAGGAAGGTTTTAAAAGACCTGATGTGCAAGCTAATTAAATCAGCGTCTCTGGGGGTGGGACCCAGGTATCCCCATCATCATGCAGACGACATACCTATGTAGGAAATCCTTAGGAATCTACAAAAAACACCTAGAATAAGGGAGTTCAGCAAGATCTCAGAATATAAGATAAACCTACAAAGACGTTATTTCTACGTATTAGCAATGACTACATGAACACAAAAATTAAAAGCACAGTACCACTTAAAGTTGCCTTTAAAAACAAAATACTTAGATGTAAATCTAACACTTAAGAACTTGTATGTTGAAAACTACAACACACTGATGAATGAAATCAAAGACGACAAATGAGAGACATACCTTGTTCGTGGACTGGAAGATGAGATCTAGTAAAGATGTCAGTTCTCCCCAAATTGATACACAGCTTTAATGCAGCTCCTACCAAATATCCCAGCAAGATTTTTTTTGTAGATATAGTTAATAAGATGATTTAAAAACTCAGCTAAGGGACGCCGGAGTAGCTCAGTTGGTTAAGCATCCAACTCTTGATTTTGGCTCAGGTCATGATCTCAGGGTCTTGGGATCAAACCCCACATCGGGCTCCCTGCTCAGTGGGGAGTCTGCTTCTCCCTCTCCCTTTGTCCCCCCCACCCCCCCCGTGCTCTCTCACTCTTATCTCAAATAAATACATATTTTTTAAAGATTATATTTATTTGACAGAGACATAGCGAGAGAAGGAACACAAGCGGGGGAGTGGGAGAGGGAGAAGCAGGCTTCCCACAGAGCAGTGAGCCCGACGTGGGGCTCGATCCCAGGACCCTGGGATCATGACCTGAGCCGAAGGCAGATGCTTAACGACTGAGCCACCCAGGGGCCCCTCAAATAAATAAAAAAATAAAAAAATAGAAACATAGCTAAAACAATTTTGAAAAATAAAGTGGGACGAGCCAGTCTACCCAATTTTAAGACTTACTATAAAGCTATAGTAACTGGGGCACCTGGGTGGCTCAGTAGGTTAAGCGTCTGCCTTCGGTTCAGGTCATGATCCCAGAGTCTGGGGATCAAGCCCCACACTGGGGTCCCAGCTCAGCAGGGAGTCTGCTTCTCCCTCTCCCTCTGCTCCTTCCCCTGCTCACTCTCACTCTCAAATAAAATCTTAAAAAAAAAAAAAATTCAATAGAGGAAAAAGCATTTCGACAAATGGTGCTGGAGCAACTGGACATCTACAGGCTAAAAAACAGAAAACAAAAAACAAAAACCCTTGACCTAAATCTTATACAAAAGTTAACGCAAAATGGATCACATAGGTAAAGCATAAAACTATAAAAATTTTAGGAAAAAAAACCTAGGAGACAATCTTTGGGATCTAGGACTAGGTAAAGAATTCTTACACATGATACCAAAAGCACAATCCGTAAAAGAAAACTGGTAAACTGCACTTCATGAAAATTAACAACTTTTGCTCTACAAAGGATCCTGTTAAGAGGATGAAAAAATAAGCTAGAGACTGGGAGAAAATATTTGCAAACCAAAAACCCAACAAAGGACTAGTATTTAAAATAAAGAACTCTCAAAACAACAGTAAAAGACCAAACAATCCAACTAGAAATGGTGAAAAACAAGAACAGATACTTCACAAAAGCAGCACATGAAAAGCTATACATCAGCCATTATGTTAATACAACTGGAAACCACAATGAGATCTCACTACACACCTACCAGAATGGCTAAAAATAAAAAATGGTGACACCACCAAATGCTGGCGAGGATTTGGAGAAACTGGATCACTCACACGTCAAGGGTGGGAACGTAAAATTGTACAGCTACTCTAAAGGCATGTGGCAGTTTCTTTAAAAAAACCAACCATGCAATGGCCACACAACCTCGCAACCGTATTACTGGACATTTACCTCAGAAAACCAACGTTAACACAAAAACCTGGAAGGAATGTTCATAGCAGCTTTATTTGGAATAGCCGAAAACTGGAAACCACCCAGATGTCCTTCATCGGGACAGTGAACATATCGAGGAATACTACACAGCAATCAAAAGGAATGAACTACTGACACACACAACAACCTGGATGCATCTCCGGAATATTCTGCTGAGTGAAAAAAGCCAATCCCAAATGGTCACGTACTGTATGATTCTTGAAATGACAAAATCTTAGATCAGTGGTTGCCAGGGATTAGGGATGGAGGCCGAGGGGCTGGGGTGGCTCTAACAGGAAGGAGGTCCCCATGGTGGTGGGATGGCTCTGTCGAGAGGGCAGTGGCAGCCACCCAGATCTACTTGGGAGGGCAGAGAATGATCACCCACATTGTGCCAGTGTCAGCTTCGTGGTTTTGATACTGTGTTCTAACTATGTACGAGTAACCACTGTGGAAAACTGGGTGAAGGGTCCCTCTAGCTTGCAACTTCCTATGGATCAAAATAAAGACTTAGAAAAAAGCAGTAACTCTAAATGCAACTTGGTATCCAGAGTTGGATCCTGCAACAGAAAAAGGTCATTACTGGAGAAACCGTTAAGATCCAAATAAAGTCAGTAATTTACTTAACAGATTTGTACCAATGTTAATTTTTTTAGTTCTGATAGATGTACCAGGTTATATGTAAGATGGTAACATTAGGGGAAGCTGGGTGAAGGGTATATGGATATAACCCTTCACTCTTACGTAACTCTAAAATTGTTTAAGGGGAGCCTGCCTGACTCAGTAGAGCATGCGACTCTTGATCTCAGGGTCGGGAGTTCAAGCCCCATGTTGGGTGTGGAGCTTACTTAAAAAAAAAAAAAAAAAAAAAAAATTTTTTTTTTTTTTAATTAAAATTGTTTCAAAAAATAAAATCCTCATGCCCAGATCAATTAAATCAGGCTCCCCAGAAGAGGAGGCCCCAAGTATCAGGTATCAGTATTTTTCAATTTGCCAGGTGATTCTAACCTGCAGCCAAGGTTAAGAACCACTGTTCTGGAGAGAGATGATTATAAAGTATGCTTCCCACCCGGGTTTGCTCTTAGAATTCCTTGAGAAGTTTCTAAGCAAGCATGCCATTGTTCTTTGGCCTTCATCCCCACCGGTCCCAGGTAAGGGACCCAAATTCCTTTGAGAAAGGTTCCAGAAATCCTCCTCCCTCCCTATCCAATCTGCAATCCTACGTGTCTGGGACGCCCGTTTCTGCATAGTTGAAGAACTGTAGAAGGTAAAAATGGGTAAGTCAGAAGAAAAACATAAATGCCTTCTTGTTCCCAATTCTCTAAAACCCCATAGCTAAGAACAGCAAAAAAGCAAAGAGCTGAAATGTTTCAGAGATACAAGAAAAACTGACGGGTTTTGGTTTTTTTAAAGGAAGGGGATGAGGTTCTACCTGCTCCATAACCAACTCTTCCCTCCCCTGCCTCTCTCTGTGCAAATGACAGCCAGCCAGCTCTCCATGGAGGCCTAGGAAGAAGGTACAAAGTAGATCTAACGAGGGGATCCTCTCCCTGGGATCCAGCAACTGAGAAAGGGTTAGGGGCAGCACAGCCCTTCCTCCCACGGGTGACCTCTCTTCTTCAAACACACTAAGTGATGATACCATTAGAAGCACCTAGGCAAGACAGGCAGAGAAGCAGAAGGAGCAGGCCTCCTCAGTGCCACTGGGGGCCAACTCTCGCGCAGGGCTCTGAGCACAGGGCTCAGAGAAGCGACCTCCACAGGAGGGAGCAGGACAGTGGCGCATACCGGTGGGTCATCGAGTTTGAGGTCTGGCACATGGGGCAGGCTGGGGCGCGTGCTCTGAAACACGGCACTGTAAGGGAAGCCAAATCGTTCACTGTGGCTACGGCCAAGGATGTGAACCCCCCAGCCCCAACTAGTGCTCCCGGTTTGCTCAAAGTGCCGCCAGCAGCAGCAGGTTGGCAAATTAAAAGCGAAGCGAGTACAGGTCACGGCCACGTAAAGGCAGTAATCGTGCACTCACATCATGGCTTGGCCCAAAGAGGTATAAATACACTGCACTGTCACAGGGAGAAGGCTGGGTCCTGGGGACCACAGATGACAGTGTCTTTTCATTCCCTTCAGAAGCAGGCCTGGAGGGCTGTGCCCCAACTGACCCCCATTTCCTAAAGGGGGGCAGGACCCGCTGAAGGCTCCCGGCACTGAGGTCTGGTTCTGAGGACAGCCCAGGACCCACATCTATAAGGGCCATCTAAAACGTGGCCTGCAGGGGATGGGGACAGGCTGACAAGCTACTCCTCGGCTCTCCAGTTCCCCACGTGCTTGTCCATTCCCCAGAGCTGGGGCTGCCTGGCAAGCAGTTAAACCCCTGGGTTCCGCCCAGGGCTCTCCTCCGCTGGGAGGCCGGGTCTGCTGTGGTTGGGCCCTAGAGGAGAGAGGAAAAGGAGAGTTAGCATCAAAGCTGGTGAAGGAAGCAGGTCCCATCAAAGCCAAGTATCAAAGTCCTCTTTAGGACAGGACAGGGCTGGCAAGGCAGAGGGGCCTCAGGACACCTCAGCGTCAAGGCAGAGCCGGGAGTGGGCAGTCAGGAAAACAGTCAGGCTGACTCTGCCGCCCAAGAGAAAACCACTGGGAGGAGGGCTGCGTCACTGAGAGGCAGGAAAGCAGGGCAGGGGGTTTCTGCTCACAGGAGGCCAAGGCCATAAGGCTGGGCGAGAGGAGCCTGCCTGGACACGAAAGCCCCTGCGCCGGAAGGAAGCTTTAAGTTTCCACCACCGAGTGGGCTATTTCGTGACCCCACCAGTCTTCCAGAATAATGAAATGAAAAGTGGCAACGAAGGACAGGAAGGGCCCCCTCACCACCCACCCCTGGAGAAACACCTCCCTGCCTGGGGGCGGCCGTGTCCAGGGCTCCTCCCGGCAGCTAGAGGGCTGGGGAAGGAAAGCAAAGAGAAAGTGAAAGGGAAGATATTTACCTTGGGTGTTTTCTGAAAACAAAAAATGCTCACTAGTCCACAGTCAATTATCAACTGCAGTTTCCAAATGTGCCAAAGAGGGAAAGGTCTATGGGGAAGGCTGGAGAGAGCAGAGGGGAGAGAGACAAGAGGAGACCAGCTGTGCAGCTGCGCCGGCAGGACTGCTCGGCTTGGGCCACCCTGCGGGCATGCTGCGGGGCGGGGGGGGGGGGGGTGCCCCTGACGGCCCGCGGCTCAGAACCAGAGGGAGCAGGAAGCGCGGCGTCTGGAGTGGACTCTCCCTTGGAAATCAGCTCTGGGAACGGCCACTGTGCGGGGGTTACCCCGAGTCTGACGTGACGGGCCTGGGGTCAGGAAACTTTCTGTAAAGGACCAGTATTTTTAGGTTTTGCAGGTCATAGACCCTGTGGCAACAGCTCAGCTCCACTGTCGCAGCCAAAGGCACTCACTCACAATCCAGAGACAAGCAGGCAGAGTCCAATAGGACTTTATTTACCAGCCCAGCAGCCAGCCAGTCTGCCGATCCTGCCTCAGGCAGTTACTAATTTCCCAAGCATCTCAATAAGGCGTTTTTCTGCCAGCGAATCCAGTGCCAAAGTCAATCGGGGGATGGTTCTGACCTGTGCTATTTAAGCAACGTCCCCAGCGACATCTCCACGTGTGCAGCTTCACTAAGCTCTCTTGGGGGGCAGTGGAGGGCCACCTAGCAGGGATGAGCCGCGGTACGACCTCAGAGAGCTGAGGCAGGGAGCAGGAAGACAGCAGGCGAGCCTCACTGTGGACAAACGTCCGGCCACGTCTCAGGGAAAACCCACATCATGGCAATAGAACAGGAGGGGAATCCACTACGATCAGCACGGTGGCGCCTCGGGTAGACCTCTCTGGCTACGACACTGCCCCAGCCCCCGCGCAAAGCGGGTAAGCAGTCACTGAGGGGCAAAGGACCTACAGAGCCACGGCAGGTCACGGGCTTCCCCGCTTTCTGAAAGCAGAGCACTCCCATGAAATCTTTTGTAAGCCAGCGTGGCATAAAGCCAAGAAACAATTACCATTCCAAGAAGCAAAACCCCTCTTCGGAGTTCTTTCAGTTAATGAAAACGGGCACGACCTAAGTCCTTTGTAAAAGCAAAGTGGCGCGAAGCGAACTTTCAGGGGACACCTGTATTTCCTCAGAGGATGGCCCAATGAACGGCTGAAGCCCCAAAAGGACTTTAAAAAACTCCACATGTATAGGGTGCCTGGGTGGCTCAGATGGTTGAATGTCTGCCTTCGGCTCAGGTCATGATCTCAGAGTCCTGGGATCGAGCCCCGCATCGGGCTCCCTGCTCGGCGGGAAGCCTGCTTCTCCCTCTGCCTCTCTGTCTCTTATGAATAAATAAAATCTAAAAAAAAAAAACCCAAAAAACTCTGCATGTATAATAAAGAATGAAATGAAGGAAAAACCATGGTTCTTAGATTTAAGTCTATGCCTTGAATAGAACATGTGCCGTCTCAGTAAGCAGGTGAGGCCAGAAAAGGTTCACATTGAAAAAACCAACACCAAACGCTCACATTTTGAAAAAACAAAAACATACTGGCTTTTGAGACCCCAGTCTAAGGTGATGGTGTGAACAAGCGGCCTCTCACAAAAGAACAGAGAACATCACAGTGGGTAAATACAGAACCGCGACCAGCCCTAACAGGTAGAGCACCACTTCTCAGTACACACGCACCAAGGAAGGCCCGGAAGGCCCGGATCCAGGGCTGGAGCACCACGCCTCACGCTGGGACCCTTTTTACCAACGCACAGAGATGGAGCGCCCAGGGGCTGAGCCACTCACAGGCCCAGGCCGGGGCTTTCTGTCCCTTGCACCTGCACATCACCTCTCAGGAAGTATCCATCATAAAAACACGTTCGTGTTCGCAAGCGCGGGTCTAAATAACTAGAGCTGTTCCCTGTGGGACACCACTGCCCAGAGGCCAAGGGCATGCACAGGCTCCAGACCAGAGCGCCTCGGCCTCTCTCTCAGAATCTCTTCTCTCTCTCAGAATCTCTTCTGATTCTTCATCTGTAAAATGGGCCTAATGACTGCTACCTCTGAGAATGGAGACATGTTCTTAGATGAATAAGGATGAGCAAAGCTCCCAGCACAGTGCCAGGCAGAGCCAGTGTTCAAGAGCGCTTGGTGTCCCCACCTTAGAGTGCCCAGGGCGTCCGGCAGCCCGCAGCTTCTGCCACGGCCTCGCTGGAAGCCCCACCCACTCCCCCAGGACCACCCAGCCCCCGAGTGTATCTCTGACCCCAACATAGGAGCTCAATCAGAATGAAAGTACCTTCCTGAGTACCAAACCAAGAAAGTTCCCTAACTTTTTAAGCACTCCCACCCAAAGCCCACTCTCCACAGTCTCCTTTTTATCTACAAGGCAGGGTTTGCTAGCCCATGCCCCATCTATTTCATCCAACGCGATCTTCCGGCGACTCCCAGTGGGACCCTAGATGTGAAGGGCAGGACTTAAATATTAGCTTGACCCGACCAAACATCTCAACTGGTGCCCTTCTCAGCTCCTGGCATGGTGCCCACCAGCCAGCCACCTTCTGAGCTGGGCCCACTGGTGACTGGGTCTTCATTTTCCAGGTGACCTAACCCTAATCCTAACTGACCAAGAGTGTCTGGACTTGATCTTATTCCCATTTAGCAACTCTTCTCTAATGAAGGCAACCCATGTGGACAGGTCGTCCAGAGAAAATGCTGACCGCACGTACTTTGCACGCGACCTGGCCTGCAGCACAATGTCATCATAGCTAGTCAGACAGTGAAAAGAGGAAAAGGAAAGAATGGGCAGAAAAGGGGACAAGGGAAGAGGAATACAAGGCAGAGTGAGGCAGAGAGAGTGAGTGTGTGTGGGAGCAGCAAGGACCAGCACAGGACGTGCACGCCCTCCGGGCTGCCACACTGGGGGATGTGGCCCTGTGGGGCTCACCTGCTGCCGTGGCTGTCTTGTCACCGAGGAGCCTGGTCTGGCTGCCTGGGATGACCTGGAGGTCTGCGTTCTCCGGGGACTGTGGCAGGTTCTGGGCTCGAGTAGCCAGGAGTGCATTGAGGTACTGCAGCCGCGTGACCTGGAGGACAGAAAGCACCCCCAGGCAGGTGCCACTTGTGAAGCCAGACGGAGAAAGCAAGTTCCAAGAAGGTCGCACGTCTCCCTCCTGCCCACAAGCACCAGAACTAGGTGGGAGAGTCACACTCAGCAGGACCAAGAAAATGAAGAGCTTTAAGCCAGCTAAGGGCAGAGGAGAGCAGTCAAGCAGTGTCTTTAAGATCTCAAAAGGAAACTGGGCGCACAGTCCCAGCGACGGGACTAGACTGCCGGCAGTCAGAGGGACCTCCAGGAGCCAAGGCCGTCTGTCCTTCAGAGCAATTAACACGGTCCTGTTCCAGCGAGTCTGAGAGAGACTCAAGAAGAATTTACTCTTAATCCATACAAACTTGCGGCCAGCTGGTTTAGCCCCTGGGGGACACAGAGCTGCCTAACAGCCAGTACCAATGAGCAGCCCAGACAGTCACCTTAATGAGCTGCAGGTCCGAGAGGGCCCTCACGGTGTAGTCAGGACAGTACGCACACAAGCGGGCACCGTCGGCTGGCTCGGGCTGCAGGTCGTGGCGGATGGACTGGAGCGAGGACACCGGGGACTGGTGAACTATCAGAAGGAACAATCAGTGACGTCTCTGGTGGGGACAACTGCACCGCCTCGGAGATCCACCCCACAGACCACTCTATGATGTGACCACAGCTACGAACAGAGAAGAACGGCAAGCACACTTCCTCGCGGGAAAGGCTTGGCGGGGGCAGGAGCGAGCAACAGTGACGAGCCCCAGAGAAACGCTGCCCCTCCCTCGACACAGCCCAGAGAAGAGGAAAGCCAGCCCCTCCTCAAGTGGAGCACCCGACAGGACGCGTGGGCTCTGGAGGAAGGGGAGGCCAGACCCTGGGCCCCGGAGAGCCGCACAACCAGCAGCTGAGCCCAGCCTTCCGCTCCAGGAGGGGCTGGCGCTTACCTGAGGATGGTGCTGTCAGGGCAGACACTCCATAGTAGGTGAAGGCCCCATTCTCAAACTTCAGGCCCTCTTTCCCGATCTCCACCTCAACCCTGCCCTGGGAGGTGGAGGGAGAGGGAGGGAGGAGGGGCAGGGAGAGAAAGAGATGTGGACAGATTACCTTCCCCGCCAGACGAGAGCACAAGGAGAAAGCACCAACCCCAATTATTGAGGGGGCGTGGATGTGCATGATCCTCCCTCTCTCAGGCCCTTCCCTCCTTTCTGAGCAAGTGGGAGGCTCCAGCCCGGGCTCCCGGTTACCTGCAGGATGAGAATGAAATAGTCCACTGGCTGGCTGCGCTGGTACAGATAATGGTGTGCGGCCAGACGGTTGCTCTCGTCAAACCTCACTTCCTGGTTGACGCTGGGATGCTTCAGCAGGTGCATCAGGACCTTCTCGGAGACTCGCAGGGGGCTGAATACATCCACCTCTGCCCCGTGGTGGGAAAAAGGGACAGTGTCCACCGGGCCCAGAGTGGCCTGCACGACCACAAGGCCTTCTGCTTTCCCCCCGAGCCAAGTCACCTCCCCAACACGAGGGAACTGGGCAGGCCGCACAGCCCCCCACCCCGCCCCGCCAAGGCCCCCCGCCGTGGCTCGCCAGAGGTGGCGCCTGCCTGGCTGCAGCTCTCAGCCGTCGGCAGAGAGGAGCCGTCCCTCAGGGGCCCTGAAGTGCTGGCAGGGCTGGAGAGAAGCGCCGAAGGGCTCCTGGGTACGCTCCTCCTTCCCGGGACTGAGGGCACTCGGTGTCTGCCCTGGGGGCCGCGTGACCCACCGGACGGTGGGCCAGAGAGCAAAGGCCCACCCTTCACCCTCACCTCGGGACAGGAAGCGCTGGGTGGCCAAGAGCAGCTGAGGCGAGATTTTCACTTTATGTTCATCGTCAGACACCTTGAACAAGGAGAATTCCTCTTTCGGCCTGAGGGGGGCACTCAGAGGAGCAGGCTTCTTCCGCACAGCAGCATCTCCTAGGATGGCGAGAAGACCCACTGAGGCAACAGTAGTCCTCCAGTCAGTACGAGCAAACCGAGGCCCACTGCGCGGCCTGGGGGCTCTCAGGTGGGGGAGGCAGCACCAGAGCCCCGGGGACACAGCCCTGCTGGGGCCTGGTGGCCGCTCCCCACACACAGCAAACCTGGCAGGGCGGAGGGGGTTAGTCCCGTACTCCAGCCATGTCCTGAGGAAGCACGGACAGGGCCTGCTCCTGTCCTCGGAGCTGGAAAGGCAGAATACTGACAGGACGGTCAGAGACCCCTCACCAGAAAGCACGTCTGCAGATTACAGGCGCGACATGGCAGCAGCTAACCTGATGTCCCCATGCCTATGGCGGCCTGAAGAACCAAACTAAAGAGGCTGCATTTTGGGGACAGACGCGGGGGCAAAGCGATTCACTTGATAGCAAATGGAGCTGGGGGGGGGCCTCAGTGTCCCAAGCGTGCACGTGAGGCCCTGGGCCATCAGGTCCAGGCTCTGTGTCTGCCCTGCAGACCTCAGCCATCTTCCTAAGAGCCAGACACCCCTAAGGCATGATCACGGGCCCCCGGATCTTTGGTTTTGGAAAGACCCTCTCTGCTGTAAAGAACGGGATTCTCTGAGGCAAGGCTTCTGTAACGTAGAAAAGAACCCGAGAAAGCCAAAGGGCCATGGAAGACGGGAGCCTGGGAAAGGCCCCTGAAGGGCAGAGCCCCTGTCTGTGCCGGAGAAACCAAACTGCTGCTGCAGCCAGAGCCCCAGGCAGGCAGTGGGGCTGCAAAGGCCCCGCCGGGCCACCGCGGCGTCGCATCCAGGCACAGCCGCGGGCCCAGCTAGCCAACAGCTCTGACTGGAGATCCAGCCTCGTTTCAGCGGCACAGAGACCCGCTGTCCTCTGAGGCACACCACACATCTCAGGAGGCTTGAAAGACCGGCTGAGATGGAACGCTGCCAGGAGTCAAGACTCACGGTAGTCCTCAGACTCGTCCAGGATCTCAGACTTGATGATCTCCTCAATGACGTCCTCCAGGGTGACCAGGCCCAGCACCTCGTAGAAGGGGTCACCTTCACCCTCGTTGTTCACCTTCTGCACGATGGCCAGGTGGGACTTCCCTGGGGGAGGGGACGCTCAGGTTACATCCCATCTGAGGTGACGTCTGTGTTCCCACAATGTACCGGGCACCAGTGAGACTCTTCCTAAGTTCTTACTTAAGGCTCTCAACACGCTCGTGAGGACGAGCCTCCCTTTACACACGGGACCCTAAATCTCAGGCACTATGGTCAGCCGCACAAGGCCACCCAGGCAGGGGCAGAGCGGGCAGCCTCGGGTCCACAGAAACGTGGTTTAGATAAGGCTGCGTCAGGCCGGGACAGATGCTAGGGCTGCACACACAAGGGCACCAACTCCAGAAGCATGGGCTCCCCAGGGACAGTCTACATGGGGGAGCACAGAAGGGCCACCAGTGACTCTCCTGGGGAAGCATCCCCATTCTGAAAGCTGTCCTTTATTTCCAGAAGCCAAGGTCTATGCACGTCATCCAGGGGGAAGATACACGGTGAGTGGCCAGTCAGAGCCCAGACTGTGCGGGAGGAAGGGCAGCAGCCTGGAACTGTTCACCTTCCCCTCCTTCAGCTGAGCTTCCTATTGGTTTGTTTGTCTGATAAAGAAATGGAAGCTTGAACAAAGCCCAAGCTTCAGAGTGCTGGGGACTGTTGAGGAAACTTCAAGAACTGACTCTGCTTTTCATCTATGAAACTTTATGAAACCTGTCCAAAAGAAACAGAACGCAAACCATATATGTAACTTTAAATTTCTGAGTAGCCACATTAAGGAAAAAAACACAGGTGAAATTAAGTGGTAACATATTGTAATTAACACAATATAGCCCTCAGTATCACTTTGACATGCAATCAACATAAAAATATTAAAACAGGGGCACCTGGGTGGCTTAGTCGTTAAGCATCCAACTCTTGATTTCGGCTCAGGTTATGATCTCAGGGTCACAAGATCGAGCCCCACATCAGGCTCCGCACTCAGTGTGGAGTCTGCTTGAGATTCTCTCTCCCTCTACCCCTCCCCCTCCAGCACTCATTCACTTTCAAATAAATAAATAAAATTTAAAAAAATAATAAAAAATATTAAAACAGGAGCACCTGGCTGGCTCAGTCGGTAAAGCATGGGACTCTTGATCTTGGGGTTTTAAGTTCAAGCCCCATGTTGGATGTAGAGATTACTTAAAAATAAAATCTTTAAAAAAAATTATTAAAATTTTTTTTTAAAGATTTTATTTATTTATTCATGAGAGACAGAGAGAGAGTCAGAGGCAGAGGGAGAAGCAGGCTCCCCACGGAGCAGGGAGCCCAATGCGGGACTTGATCCCAGGACCCTGGGATCATGACCTGAGCCAAAGGCAAACGCTTAACCGACTGAGCCACCCAGGCGTCCCTAAAAAAATTTTTAAATTAAAACGTATTTTCCTTTTTTGTACTGTCTGTGAAGTCTGGTGTGGGTGAGGCACTTCCAGCACATCTCAGTTCAGCCCAGCTGTCTTTCGACCACATGTGGGCACTAGCTGCTGGACGGGGTTGTGCAGGTCTAGGATATGAACTCAGAGAAACTCATCTCAGCCATGCCCTTCATTACTAGTGAAAAAAGTTTTGGGTAAAAGCAAGCCTGGATCCATGTAAGGGGGTATTTGCTTCAAGAATCTTTTGGTAAAGCAAAAAGTCAAGTTCACTTCTTTGTGTCAATCATACTTTACATATCTTGGGTTTAGTTACAGTGTAGTGAACTTGAGTTCAGAAACACACTCTCTCGGGCGCCTGGGTGGCTCAGTTGGTTAAGCGACTGCCTTCAGCTCAGGTCATGATCCTGGAGTCCCGGGATCGAGTCCCGCATCGGGCTCCCTGCTCGGCAGGGAGTCTGCTTCTCCCTCTGACCCTCCCCCCTCTCATGTGCTCTCTCTCATTCTCTCTCAAATAAAATAAAATAAAATAAAAAATCTTAAAAAAAAAAAAAAAAGAAAAAGAAACACACTCTCTCGAAGTCTATCTGGCATGCTCTGCCTCCTCATTCTTTCAGCATCCATGTCCCCCCACCCCCCCTCCCGCATCAGGTGCAGGAAGACCTCTGCTCCAAATTTATTTTATTTTTTTTAAAGATTTTATTTATTCATTTGAGAAAGAGAGAGACAGTATGAGCAGGGGGAGAGGCAGAGGGAGAGGGAGAAGCAGGCTTCCTGCCGAGCAGGGAGCCCGATGTGGGGCTCGATCCCAGGACCCTGGGATCATGACCTAAGCCGAAGGCAGACACTTAATTGACTGGGCCACCCAGGCGCCCCTGCTCCAAATTTAGATAAAAAGAAAATGTCTAGTCAACCAAAAGCTATTATTATTAGTAGACCACTGGCCAAATGATCAAGAAAGGAATGAGGCAGGGGCACCTGGCTGGCTCAGTCGGTGGAGCGTACAACTCTTGATCTCAGGGTTGGGAGTTCGAGCCCCATGTTGGGTGTAGGGATGCCTTAAAAATAAAATCTTTAAACAAAAAAAGGGAATGAGGCTGTAGAAAAGAAAAAGAAAACATTTACTGTATTTCATCAAATTGAAGACGCCATCAATTCTGAGACACATCCTGATTGCAAAGATGTTGAAATACAAAAAACAATGCACCTGTGAACTGAAGGAATGCGGCACATAGTGCTCACTGTGTGCTGGCCACTAAGTGCCGTATTCATTTATTAAGTTACTGGGAACAGAGGATTATTCCCATTTACAGTCTGCAGAGAAAACAGGCTCAAGGCTCAAAGAGCTTCAGTGACTCACCCAAGTGCAAAACCGAGATGTGAACCCAGGCAGCTAGCTTCTTAATCTGTTCTTTTTTCCTTTCCTTTTTCTTTTAAGATTTTATTTATTTGACACAGAGAGAGAGAGAGACCATGAGCGGGGGGGGGGGGGGGGGCAAGGGGAGAGGGAGAAGCAGACTCCCCGTGGAGCAGGGAGCCCGATGCAGGACTCGATCCCAGGACCCCAGGATCATGACCTGAGCCGAAGGCAGACGTTAATCGACTGAGCCATGCAGGCACCCCTGAATCCATTCTCTTAACCACCATACTCATCTCGTTTTCACTGGAGAACAGGAGACCAAATCTTAAGAGACCCTCCCCTCTGGGTGAGTTACACTGGGCCAAGGTACTGTCTCCAGCACAGGGGTCCTTCTAAAGAAAACAAAGTGTTGTTCTTCAGGATGCTCTAATATCTTCAGACAAAAATTACAGGCAGGGATGACTACACTGTCTTCCCCCTTTCCAGGAGAAAAAGGCCAGGGGTCCCCGAGAACTACCTGATCATTCCTGCTGAGACAGAAGTACTGAATGAGGAATAGCAGCATTTCCAGATGCTGCCCACCCCTGGGTATCTGTGCTGGGAATGGCTCACACCAGCAGACGGGCATCATTTCCATGAGGGCCATGCCGACCCCGCCATATGATACTAACCTCTCAGCCCAGATGAGGAAGGCCGAAGCTCGACATACAATTCTGGTCAGATTCTAGGAACCAAAGCCCAGGTTCTAGATGACCATGTAAGAGCAGAGAGAACCCATTTCAGCTGCATTCTTCCAGAATGCCAGCCCTATAGGTAGGTTACCCTTAGAATGGACTAGCCTCTCCCTTGCCTTCAAACTTTTGTAAAACAGGCACAAGTTTCTCAGTGACCCACCACATGGCATGACTGGATAACAAACAGACGAAAGCAGAGCCCCTGAAAGATCCCCCGACACAGTGGCCATGGGATTTCATCTCAAGACAGAATGTCTGAGGGGTCCAGACGGCAACCACGAAAAAGCAGTAGGGGTACAGAGAGAACAGGCAGCTGGAGGGATTAAAGTTTATTTCTCATCTGATAGGACAAAATGCTCTGAAAACACACAGGCCCCTGGCTGGCTGACTAGAAACACTAACAGGCCCCAGGACAAGTGCCTACAGGTTCTCCCTGAGCAAAGAGCCTCAGGTAAGGGGCAGATGACGCATTTACCAGAATCAACCAAAAAGCCCTGAAAAAGCTCTACACAGTTTTCATTTTAGTTAGCAGGCCCAAATGTACTCATAAATTATATGGATGCTAGAGAACTCTTCCATAATGCCTCATTTCTAGGATATCTGTAAAAATGCAGATGGAGTTTAAATTCCTCTGCCTCCGTTTTATTTTTTTTATATTTATTTATTAAAAAGAGTGAGTGAGAGAGAGCACAAGCAGGGGGAGGGGCAGAGGGAGAAGCAGACTCCCCACGGAGCAGGGAGCCTGATGCAGGGCTTGATCCCAGGACCCCAAGATCCTGACCTAAACAGAAGGCAGATATTCACTGACTGAGCCACCCAGGCGCCGCCCCCCCCACTTCCTTTATTTTTATTTATTTATTTTTAAAAGATTTTATTTATTTATTTGAGACAGAATGAGAGAGAGAGAGCACATGAGATGGGGGAGGGTCAGAGGGAGAAGCAGGCTCCCCGCCAAGCAGGGAGCCCGATGCGGGACTCAATCCAGGGACTCCAGGATCATGACCTGAGCCGAAGGCAGTCGCTCAACCAACTGAGCCACCCAGGCACCCCTTCCTTTATTTTTTAAAGCAACTGTCAGAACATATCCTAGGAGAAAAGTGCTAGGCTAACATTCCTCACAGCAGGTCTGACTCTTTTCAGAATCCTGGGGATCCTTTGGCTTCTGACAATGAGCCAGAACTCGGTTGGTTTAAAGCAGAGATTGTGAAAAGCATGCATCCTAATTCCTCCTTTGGTTGACTGTCCTTGAATATTCTCACTGGAGGATTGACAAAGATGGTGGGATTAATAGCTTTAAAGAAAATACACTTTACTGCAGGTCCAGAGTACACTCTCTTCCTGGTAATGTTTGCCCAAAATACTCAGTATCATCTTAAGTCTGCACACTAACTAAGGACCGCCTCACCAGAAAAGGTGCCTCTCCCAGACTATAAAGTTCCCAAACAGACAGTGCCCTGAGGGATGAAAGGAACAGGGCCTGGAATGGTAGCTGCCAAGACGCCAAGGACTCCAGCTTCAGGAAATTCAGAGGGCACCACCACCTCACACACTTGGCAGAGAGACGGGAAGGGAATTGATTTCTAAAACCTCAGGCGCCACAAGGGCTGCAATATGCCCTTTGTTCATAAGCAGAATGAAGAAAGGGGTTAGGCTAAAAATGGATCTCAATGAGGAAAAACGGATATCTGCCAAAGGAGTGCCCTGCAAAGAGAAGCAGAGAAAGGCTCCAGGAGTCAGAGGCAAGACGAAGCCAATTTGCCCCTGAGAATGGCCCTCACTTGTCAGGGGAGGAGGAAGGTGAGGACAACTGAGGAGCTCCCCATTCAACCTCCGGGCTCCCCAGAGCTGCTCCAAGGCCACCCACCATCCCAGAAGAGCAGCAGCCTAGACTGTGGGCCTTCTCTCCCGACTGGCTCCCTTCTGTCAACATTTCAACCCAAAGCCACTCAACTTGCCCATCTTCGACTGAAGAGCAGAGGGCCCCCTCCCGTGCCAGCCCTCTCCCAGCCACTGCTCTGGCTTCTGCTCTGCAGCCATACCTCATGGCAGGCCCATCTACCTCAGCTGTCATGTCCCATTCATTCCCCATCACCCAGGCTGGAGCGCCAAATCTGCTCTTGCAGCGGTCACGAGTATCCTGGTTGTTGGATCCAAATGACACGATGCTGGCCTCTCCTGATCATTCGCCTTCCCTCGGTAAGTGGTCTCTTCTAGGGCATTCTGAACTTCTGGGTCTCCTCAGCAGCTCTCCTCTGCTACCCTCCACCCCTCATATGCTTGCGCCCTCAGGGGTTTAGGCTTTCTGTGCCACACCTACGGCTGGAGCAACCACTTCTTTACCAACAACCAAATCTTTATCTCCTGCTTGGGTCTTTAACTCGTATTTCTCATCAACTGGTTGAGTCGGCCTCTTGGGCCACTGCACAGACATTCCAGTGTCCAGAACAAATTCACCTGTGCCACCCCCCCACCCCACCCCCACCACGATGACCTCCCTTCTCTGTAAGTGCTCTGCCTCAGGGAAGGGCAAGAGCATTCCGAAGCCAGAAACCCAGGCCTCACCTTTAGCTCCTCAGCTAACCACAAAGCCCCCTCAATTCCACCTCCCGATGCCCTTCTGGATGTCCTCTCCAGGCCCGCTGCCCACCTTTATTCAGCTACCACCGTTTCTTAGCTGGACCCCCTACCCACTGGTCTCCGTACCAGTCAGGGCTCAAAGTCAACGCCCCGGAGATCAAGTCCAGCCTTCCCAGGGTCTCAAGCTGGGAGGTGGCAGGGGCAGGATGGAACCCTCCTTGGCGCACTCCAGGCCACCAGAACCTCCACTGCCTCGAAAACTACAGAGGCCCAGATGGAGTACTCACCAGCAGAGGTCTGGCCCCCACCCCGGGCTCCTCTCCCCTGAGAGGGACTGCATAGCCACTTTCTGGGGGAAACAGCCAAGAGCACCCAAGAGATGCTCCAGCAGAGCAGTCAAAGCTGCACAGCAAAGTCTCCCACCCAATCCTCAGGTACCGTAAGGACAGTAACTGCCTAACTATTCAACACCCAAGCCACGACTAATTACTCAACATCCATGCGCCCTGGGGCCAGGACACTTCACAGCTGCCAGGAAGATCGGGGGCTCCACTCTCTTCCCAGCCTCACATTATGCAGCCTTTCGGGTCAAACCCATCCAAAGTCCTGGGGTGTCCCCTGGAGGAATTCCCTGCAGGAATTCAGGGGTGAGAAGCATGGCTGGCGGACAAGGAGCAGCCAAGTTCTAGGGAGCACATCCAAGCCTGACAATGAGAGGACTGCAGAGGAACCCACACCTTCACACTTGGAGGCTGGGCTCCATTTTTACCTGCAACCTTGGAGTTGCTCAGATAAACCAAGGTGAAAGAAGAGGGTGAACTGTGGGGCGCCTGGGTGGCTCAGTTGGTTAGGCGACTGCCTTCAGCTCAGGTCATGATCCCAGGGTCCTGGGATCGAGCCCCACATCGGGCTCCCTGCTCTGCGGGAGGCCTGCTTCTCCCTCTCCCACTCCCCCTGCTTGAGTTCCTCCTCTCGCTGTGTCTCCCTCTGTCAAATAAATAAATAAAATCTTTAAAAAAAAAAAAAAAAAAGAAGAGGGTGAACTGTGGAGTTAAGTGAGACCCTGACAGACCTTATTCATGATCAGAAAAGGGGAAGTTAAGAAAAAAAAAAAAAAGACAAGACAAAAGGGGAGATTAAATCAGTATCCATAAAGTTGCTTCTGATGAAATCTAAGTGGAAGTGTCTCCCACACCTGCAGAAAATCAGGTATCATTCCTTCTTCTGTTATCAGCATGGCAGCAGCCCATGAAAGACCTTAACAATGATCCCTTGAAACCTCACAGGCCCTGCTAATTTGATGATATGTGTGCAGGTGAAAGCCACCAGGTGTCTGAAGACTATCCTCTTCTGTTCTTCTAGTTTCTATTTAAGAATTTAGACCTGTTACAAAACCAAAGCCCACAAAAATGAAGGAAAAAGCTGGTGGATTAGAGTCAAGTGGACACAGCTCCCCAAATTAGGCCTACCAGGAAAAGGGGGATTTTGCTTTCCACAGCGCTCTGAACGACAGCCTTTGAGTATTTCAAAAGGTCACTGAGAGCTGTGAGGCCATCATCTAAAAGGGTACTCGGAGAGACCTCCGTAAGGATGGGACCCTTTCCTCAAGGCTTCCATAAACCCCCACCCTTTTTCCAGCGGACAGCGCTGGCATTCGTGTCCCCTCCCCGATGTCCCGTTACCTCGTTTGAACTCCTCCAGGACAGCGTCCAGCTTGGTGTCGTTGAAGACGAAGTGGAGCGGATGGTTGTAGAAGCGGGTGATGGTGCTGAGCGGCGTGCAGTCTTCGGGATCCACGAAGGCCAAGTCCTTGAGGTAGAGCATGTCCACGATGTTGGAGCGCTCCTCCTCGTACACTGGGATGCGCGTGTGGCCGCTCTGCATGATGCTGGCCAGGACGCCGAAGTCCAGCACGGCGCTGGCATCCAGCATGAAGCAGTCCTCGAGCGGCGTGAGCACGTCCTCCACGGTCCGGCAGCGCAGCACGCCCTTGCTGAGATCGCTGTAGGGGTCGCCGCCACCGCGGGCCAGCTCTAGCACGCGCTCGCGCAGCCGCCCGGGCCGCGCCGCCAGCTCCAGCAACTGGCCCACGGGCAGCGCCACCGGCAGGGTCAGCAGCACGGCCAGGCGGCTGAGCAGCAGCGCGCGCGGCGCCAGCGCCAACGCCCAGCGCCCGCTCACGGCAGCCGGCACCACCTCGCCCACCAGGAACACGAGCCCCGCGCTGCCCAGCACGGCGGGCACGGCGCGCTGGCCGGCCGCGCGGTACAGCAGCACCGCCAGCGCCGCCTGCGCCAGGCTGGCCAGTAGCAACAGCGCGCCCAGGGCGCAGCCGGCCCAGCGCCGCACGGGCTCTAGGCGCCGCGCCGCCGCGCGCTCGGCCTCCGAGCCGCTCTCGCGCAGCACCTGCACCTCGGCGGGCGCCAGCGCCAGCGCGCTCAGCTGCAGGCCCCGCGCCAGCGCCGCCAGCGCCAGCAGCCCCGCCGCCCCCAGGCCCAGCGCCCAGGGCGGCGCCGCCTCCTCGGCTGCCGAGCCGCCTGGCTCCACGCGCAAGGCCAGCAGCGCCGAATGCGGGCGCACGGCCTCGGCGCGCAGGCGCAGCAGCGCGCTCCACTCGCCCGCTGGGGCCGCCGCCTCCCGGGCCGCCGAGCCGTCCGGCTCCCCGCGCACCGCCAGCAGCGCCGAGTGCGGGCGCGCGGCCTCGGCGCGCAGGCGCAGCAGTGCGCGCCACTCGCCTGTGGGGGCCGCCGCCTCCTCAGGAGACGCGGCCGGCCCGCCCTCGGGGCAGCCCGCCCCCTCGGGGGCCACCCAGGACCAGGAGCTGTTGGCCAAGCCGGAGCCGAAGAGGCGCAGGCGGAAGGTGGCCTCCGGTGCGGCCCGCACCTCTCCTCCGCGCTCCCACCCCGCGTCCGCGGCTCCGTCCTTCTCCAGACAGACGCCCAACACTCGCGGGCCCGACGCCGCCTCCCCGGCGGCGTTTCCCAGGCACAGCGCGGCGAGCAACCAGCCTAGACGACCCGCCGCCGCTGCCGCCGCCATCGCCTGCTGCCCCCTCTCGGCCTCCCGCGCAGCCTACCCCTCCGCCTCCCCTGGACCAATCGTCTCTAGCCTTGGCGCCTCCTCCGCCAATAGCCAGCGGACGAGGGCGGGCCCCAGGGTCGGACTAGGCTGCGCCGGGGAGTAAACAAGCGGCGGCGCGATCCCGGGGCGGGCCGGGGGCGTGGGGCTCTCGGCCCTGCGGGGCTCGGCCGTGACTCCCAGGGCGAGAGGTGGCCCGCGCCCGGACGCGCGGAGCGGCGAGCTGGGCGTCCGGTTCCCACAGGCCGTGCCGGCACGCCCGATGCCGCACTTGTGCTCTGGGAAGTCCCTGACTCGGGGCGCGGAGCGGAGCGGCTTGCAGGCAGAGATTTCAAGTGTGTGGCAGATGTACCGTTTCTTTGGAAAGGGCCCCGTGAACCACTGGCCTAGGGGCAAGGAGAGCTGAAAGAACCGGTGACCGGACGTTGGGAAGCTCAAGTTTCTTGGAGATTGTGCCCGACTGTGCTATAGGTCTGGGCACGTGAGACACAGCCCTTTGCCTTCAAGGAACTTGCATTCCTGTCAGGGAGAATGATGGTAATTATGTAAACACACGAAATCACTACCTCATTGGACCCTCAGAGCCACTTTTACAGGAGAAAAGTGAGGCATGACTTAGCACGGATGCAGGATTCCAACACGACCTGCCTGGTCATCATCCTAGCCACGTTAGCAGAGGGCAGCGCTGTCAGAAATTACTGTTACCTGGTCACGCCACTTCTAGCAGATAATCCTTGGGAAAATACTTGCTCAGGAACAACAAGAACTGTTCAAGAGGATCCTTACTAGAGAGTTATTTAGAAGACAAGACCGGCCCGGGAGGCGGTCTTGACAGGATGGAATGTTTTTCACCCATTGTGTATGATCTCTGTATGATTGGAAGGAAACAAACTTAACAAGGTTTTTTTCTACAGGGATCCAGATTGTTTTTGTATTTTCTTTACGTTTTTATGTATTTTCAAATTTCCTAACAAAAGTAGACTTTTGATAAGGGTGTTCATATTCATGTCATTTAAAATCTTCATAAAGAGTCTACGGAAATACATTTGCTAGGTCATGAAAATAATAAAAAGTATAGGCACTGTGGCCACAATTAAGTAAAATGTGTGGAACGCAATGTGCAAAAATGAGCAAATCCATGGCAAATGACCAAAAGAAAAAATACTTTGTGGAAAAACTCTTCAAAGGATGCTAAGAATGTCTCTTCAACATTGTAAATTCAGCGCTGTGACTAGGCCAACCACGTCTCCATGTTTGCAGTTTTTATTATCTAGAGGGTGCTACACCTCACTTGCAGATTACAGAATAAGCCACCAGCAGAAGCAATGACACTACTGAGCCTTTCCACTGGATCAGCATGCCTCCTTTGAAGAAAAAAAAAAAACTATGGATTCAGCCCCTTTAGTTCACTCTTTTGTCTCCAAGTCCAGATAAAATGCTGACATTGAAATAGAATGGATGGGGCGCCTGGGTGGCTCAGTTGGTTAAGCGACTGCCTTCAGCTCCGGTCATGATCCCAGGGTCCTGGGATCGAGTCCCGCATCGGGCTCCCTGCTCTGCGGGGAGCCTGCTTCTCCCTCTCCCACTCCCCCTGCTTGTGTTCCCTCTCTCGCTGTGTCTCTCTCTGTCAAATAAATAAAATCTTAAAAAAAAAAAAGAAATAGAATGGATGACATCCTTGAAAGTTATATGCCTGGAAAAGTTATTAATTAGCAAAGAACAGTTCCAGAGCAAAGACAGGAAAAACTCCATATGGATCTGGTCTCAGGTGCCCTTGGAAAACAACCAGTAATCCATATTTTGGAGAAAATCTTTGGGTAGGACAACTGGATCGCACTTGGAAACACAAATGGTCATTTAAACTGTGGATACCCAAAGCCAAAGAATCCAGTAGGGCAAAGCTGCTCAAGGAGGGATTTTCTGTTAACAATAGAGGCCTCAAAAAAAAAAAACAAACAAACAAACAATAGAGGCCTCAACAGTACTTCTCCAGCTTCTTTTTCTTCAATGTCTCTGCACCATTCTTTAACCCCATCCCCTGGGTTGTCATTGCGTCAATGGAGACACATGCCACTTGACCTTCAGGTCCCTCATTGACCCTCCCTTGGCGATTTTCCTTACTGCTCATTTGGTTCAAGACATTTCCATGTTTCACCTAAATACTTATTCGTGAGTTTTAAACTCATAACTATTGTGACTTCACTGGCTAATTTTTGCTTATTTCTCAAGTCTGCAAGTGTCACTTACTCCAGCTGGTCTTCCTCGACCATCTTGACTAGGTTGGGTCAAGGTTATGGGAGCTATGTGCTCTTCCCTAATAGCATCCAGTATTCACCTTTTTGTAAGACCCGTTCATTCATTCATTCAACAAGTATTTCCTGCAATGTACCAGGTACCATTCTAGTGCTGGGACTATGCGGGAATGAGAAAGGCCCTGCCCTGCCAGAGCTTAGGTTCTAGCATGGGAACAACAGACAATATACAAATCCTCATTTTAATATCTGGCAATAAGCGCTATGGAGAAAAACAAAGCAAGATAAGGAAATGGATAGAGGGATTGGGGCCATGCTGTTTTAGATGCGCTGACCAGGGAAGTCTTCTCTAAGGAGGTGACATTTGAATGGAAGCTTAGATGAAGTGAGGGGGTGAGCCTCACAAAGACTTGGGAGAAGTGTTCCATGTGGAGGAGAAAGGAAATCAAAAGGTCGTGGTGTGCCTGTCTCCCTCAGAGACTCTTCCTCACTACACTCAGAGGGGTTGATGGCACCTGGCATGTAGCAGGGGCTTACCCATGTGTGGAACATACAGTCAGATGAAATTTATTCTTGTGTCCACCTGCTTTTGCATCTGTTATTTTATCTACAATGTCCTTTTTTCTCCCTAAGTGCATCCCTTTTTTTAAACATTAGCCCCAGGGGCGCTTGGGTGGCTCAGTCGTTGAGCGTCTGCCTTCGGCTCAGGTCATGATCCCAGGGTCCTGGGATCGAGCCCCGCATCGGGCTTCCTGCTCGGCGGGAGGCCTGCTTCTCCCTCTCCCCTCCCCCTGCTTGTGTTCCCTCTCTAGCTGTCTCTCTCTCTGTCAAATAAATAAATAAAATCTTTAAAAAAAAAAAAAAAAAAAAAAAAAATAGATAAACATTAGCCCCAGTTTGTCTGCTTTGGTAAGCCTGGCTTGCTTGGGCCCCTGGCCCCAGCACACTCTGTTACACACCATAGCCACAGTACCTATGGGCACCGCACGAGTCCACACACAGAAACCTCAGGAGTGTCGCAGTGAAGTGACTCTCAGGTAGGCTCTTCAGGGGTTGAGCTGTCCAACTTTGAGACCACCACCAGCTCATGAGCAAGGACAAAGAGGCAGCTGCATGTTATGAAGCAAGGCGATCATCCTGTTGGATCAGGCTCCTTTCTCCTTCAGCCCCCAGGGGGGAGAGGAGAGGCTATCTGTCCCCTCTAACCACCCCGTCTGGTACCTGCAGGCAGAAAACTATGGTGTCCATTTTTACAAATTCCTAAGTGTGGCAGCTGAGCACACTTGCCCCATCCATCTCACAGCAGCTGCTACTCTCTAGCTCCTGGGACAATAGCCTTGATTATATATATTTTGTAAATTTCATTTCTGCTTCCTTTTTACTGTTAAAACAGTCCCAGGGCGCCTGGGTGGCTCAGTTGGTTGGGCGACTGCCTTCGGCTCAGGTCATGGTCCCGGAGTCCTGGGATCAAGTCCCACATCGGGCTCCCAGCTCAGCAGGGAGCCTGCTTCTCCCTCTGACCCTCTCCCCTCTCGTGCTATTTCTCTTTCTCTCTCTCTCAAATAAATAAATAAATAAATAAATAAATAAATAAATAAAATCTAAAAAAAAACAAAACAGTCCCAGAATACTTGCCCCTTGCCCTGTCATAGGTGACAGCCAACCACAGCCACTATCTCTACGACAGGTACTGAATACTGACAGAACTCAAATAGGCAAATTGTACACTCACCAAGACTTCCTATTTCATTTTTTATTACCAATCAAAAATAAATTCCATATATTGTTTAGCAAATATTATCATTGTCTTGTGACAAGACACAAGAGTCATAACAACAAAACTCCCCGAGAGTCAAACTCATAACAATGCCAAAATAAATCACAAAAATATACAAATTAAAATCTTATGCAAAATAAATACGAGTTATTCGCTACGGTGGCTGTGACTTGCCTACCCATTTGGAGGCCATTTGCGACAGTCTCCCTTACATGGGAAGACTCGCAGGGGTGCGCCAGTTCCAGGGTACGGCTCGGCCCAGGAACCAGAGGTTGGAATAGGAAGTGAAAAATTGCACTGGGAGGAGGAAGTCATCGGACCAGTAATATTTGGAGATAATTATGACCCTCTGTAAGAAGTGATTATAAGTGGGGAAAGGGAGGACCATCTGTTGGTGGTAACCGTGTGTGCAAAGAGGTAGCTGTGGAAGTGTGTGCACCTGCTCCTTTTACTTCACACACTCACTTGGTTCAGGCCAATGTGGTTTGCCCCACCTGGCACTCAGGTCTCTCAGGAACACAGCTTTGCAAGCTCCCATGTGGACTCGGAAAGCAAACTGCTCCTGTAGAAAACTGAGGGGTTTCCCCCCGCAGGGTATAAAGGTCTGGTGGGGTTTTTTTCCTCATGACTGAGAACCTATGGGTGTCCCCACCTTCTCTCCAGACTTCGAGGAATAAATTCTGTGACTAGGGGAGACTTCAGAACCGGCCAGGGGCAAGTGTACTTGGTGCAGACACTTCCTGGTCCCAAAAGCTAGGATTCTCCAGGCGCCTGAAGAACAGAGCACTTGGGGTGACAGAAGTCACTGGCTGAGGAAAGGGTCAATAACTACTACTTAGGTGGAAGGTGTACAGTCTCCCCTACCTGATCTTGGGCCCCCAGCAACCTTTCCACCCGACAAAAGGGCCAACATGGACTTTAGTCCCACAGCCTCCCCAACAGTGGCAAGCCTGGGGCTCTGCAGCAGGGCCTCATTCAGCCCCAGGGAAAAGGCACTGGGGCAGAATTTCATGTGGGGGGCGGGGGAGCTCTCAGGATCCAGTACCACTAGCTTCAGCAAAGGCCAGGATGACAACTCAGGCTAGGATTACAAAGATGGGGGAAACAGGGCTGCCAGTTGTGTGCCTTTTAGGTGGAAACATCCTTTCCTGAGTTTTTTAGGTGTGTGAACAAGTTTGGGTAAGCCTCAGCCACAGAGGAAAGGGCATGAAGAACCTGCTTAGGTTGGCTTCCTATGTGTCCTGCTCTCCTCAATCCCCAAGAGGCAGTGGGCTTTGGGATGAGAAGTAGGGAGTCTGGAAAGAGGGGCTTCATAGGTCAGTGACTGACACTTGACTTTCACCGCGGGGTGGGAAAGGGGATGGTCTTAATTGCTACCAACACAGATGCCCGTGACCAGGTTCCCTCCTGGAACTGAAAGGAGTATCTCAGACAAGTCACCCGTAATGTAGATGTTCTCCCACCTAAGGGGAAACCTTTGGTAAAAGTAAGGGCAGGGCCTGGGGAGCAGGGGTAAGCAACCTTAAAAGTGTCAGACCCTGCTTAACACTCTGAGTCAAACCAGTAGAGACAAGGGTGAGAGTCCTCAGCCTGGCCCAACTCACCAGGAGAGCCCATCAGCGGAGTCCTAGGAAATTCCAGGATCCAGCAGTTGACAGGAGTAGGTGTGCTCCTCTCTGTAGCTGGGAGTACCATGTCCCTCATCACAGTTACCCAGAATCCCTCGGCCTCAGCAACGTCAGACAAGCCTCAGTGCATGTGTCCAGGCAGTTGTTCTCAGCGCTATTTGGTTCTTTGCTTCCTGGAAGGAACTGTCTTCCTCCCAAGAGAAAACCTTCCTCCAGTGGGCCTCTGGGATACCATCTCTGGAGGAGGACGAGGAGGAGGAGGAGGAAGAGGAGGAGTGGGCTCCCTGAATCAGGGACATAAGCCAGAAGGTCACGGCTGGGAGCAGATTATGGCTATTGCTTCCTGGGGTGAGAAACCCTACCCCTTTTCATTAAAGTTTTTGTGGAAAAAACTTTTTTTTGTTGTTTTAAATAAAGTTCCTTAACCCTGTCTTCCCTTCCCCATTCCTTTCTCCAAACAATATTTAAAAAGAGGAGCAGTGAGCCTAGTTCAGAAATTCTCTCAGTAAAAAACAGCCTTGCTCATGGTAGCTGGCCCACTGCCCTGCCAGTCCAGGGCTGGGCAGCTGCTAATTTGGAGCTATTCAGAGGTCCCTGTCAGAGGCCAAAACTCCCCACACTCTGGGGGCCATCTGGCTGCTCAGTTAGACAGGCTATCTGTGCCCCTTCTGGCCTAAAAGGCTCCCTGTCGTCATGTGGGCCCACTGGGGAGACCCCCGCGGGGCTGGCGGGGGACCCCGGGCCCTCCTGTCAGATGGCACTCTCATGGGAAGCTTTGTGCAGCAAAGAGTTGCGCTCATTGAGAAGAGTTGTGGTCTCATCTACCACGGGCAGCTCGGACTTCCCGGCTAAGTTCTCCGTGCAGATGGTGCAGCCATCCAGGGGAAACTGAGGGCAGTTCTCCATGCGTGAGGCCAGGAGCCCATTCTGGTACTGTTGCCGAGTGATCTGCAGGAGGAAGGGATGAGGTTCACAGAGAGTCGGGACTGAGAGGCAAACCTTCCAAGACCCAGGGAAACAGTGCTAGCCAGGGTTGGGGCTGGGCGGTCCAGAAGAGAGGACTTGACCAGCTGGAGAGAGTGAGGAGCACGAATAAGGAGGACACACATCTCGGGTCCGGGCCCTCTGTGCTGTGTGTGGTGGATGAAAAAGAAAGAAGCTGCTGATTCCTGAGGCAGAGTGATCCAAATGCCCAGGACGAGGAAGACAGCGCTGCCCAGAGGGAGAGACACAGGAAGCACCCACCTTAATGTACTGGAGGTCCATGAGCGCCCGGACACTGAAGTCGGAGATGTACTGGCCCAGGATGGAGCTGCCAAACTGGTTGGTGCTGCTTGCCAAGGTGGCTGTGCTTGCGAGATCCATGCGGTCCGGGTAACTAAGGGAGGCCGAGCGGCTGAGGGTGGCGGGGTGGGATGGGGAGTGGTCTGTGGGGAGAGACACACGGTCAGGCCAGGAGCCCCCGGTGCCCCTCAAAGCCTCTTGTCTAACCTGTCCCGTGGACACGTGGGAGCGGGGCCCCCACTGGAATGGAACAGTTCTTAAGGACAAACAAGCTGCAACTGCAGAAGGTCTGACCTCATCAAAGCAAATGAGTTAGTTTGTTTAGAGGTGTTGTGCAGTATTAACAAGCCTACCAAAGCAGAAAACAAAAACACAAAATTTAGGTCTACAGAAGCCCTCATGTCCCAACAAGTCATCAGTCAAGGGCAACACAGTGATTACCCCTCCACGGGAGACCAGGCACTGTCCCTGTCTCCACAGCAGCTTGTTATCAAGGGACATATGCTGCATACGTGTCAATTACATTAAAAGGAAGAACGTACAGCTTGTATCCTCTCACAACGCATCCACACAGACCTCTCAACATGACGCCCTTTTCACATCTTAACTTGCTTTCAAGAGGTCAAAAGTGTGTTCTGCACAAGACCTGTTCTTTTTTTTTTTTTTTTTAAGATTTTATTTATTTGAGAGAGAGAGAATGAGAGAGAGCAAGCACATGAGAGGGGGGAGGTCAGAGGCAGAAGCAGGATCCCTGCCGAGCAGGGAGCCCGATGCGGGACTCGATCCCGGGACTCCAGGATCATGACCTGAGCCGAAGGCAGTTGCTTAACCAACTGAGCCACCCGGGCGCCCCTGCACAAGACCTGTTCTATGTGGAACAGACCTGCCCACGTGTGTCTGCTGCCCCCCCCACCCCCCGTCAGTCTGACAAGGGGGACAGGGGCAGCCGGTCCCTCTCCCAGGAGCCTTGTGCTCCCAGAGCTCCAGGCCTCCCACACTGCTGTCTCCTCCAGCCTGGTCCAAGTCCCCCTGCCCTGAGGCAAAGTCTGGGGTGGTGGTGGAGGTGCCTCCTCCCCCAGGGGCAACAAGGCCTCCTGCAGCCCCTTGTCAGGAACAGGGGAAGACTCAATCGCAAATGAGGAAGGAGCAGACTCCTTATTTTCAGAAAGGAACTGTACACATACTGTGCATCATTAGCTCTTATTTTTGAGAACACTTAGAAAACAATGAAATACACAAGAAGTTAATTGTGAAGGCATGCTGGCTTCTTTTAAGCAAACAGGAAGTGGACTAAGCTTATTTACTTAGTTGAGCACTAAGTTACTAACTAACTACTAAGTTAGCTATTTTAACAAACATCTCCGAAGAGAGCTAACATAATGAATCTGGGTGACTGAGTGACCAATACAGCTTTAACTGAGATTGAACTCAGTAATACCCTGTCTTTGAGTTTCCTTCCTAAAACTAGGAAAATATAGTCTGGATAGTCTATTATTGGGCAGTGTACAATCATTAAGAGGATCATGTGCGTGTGTCACTTATCCTAACTCAAGTAACACCTTTGATGAAGTTCTAGAAAAGAAACACAAATACTATGGCTATTACCTAATATTTCACATTAATCATTTGGAAGATGATGGAATGCTTTTAATTAATGCTTATTAACACTCCAGAAATTGAATTTAGAAACAACACAAATTAGTGACATGGTCTTTTAAAAATAGAGGCCCTAAAAAGAAATACACCCAAAGACGAAACCTTTGTTTCTGAATAATGAAATTATGATACTTCTTAATTTTCTTTTTTTTTTTTAAAGTTTTATTTATTTTAGATGGAGAGAGAGACATCGCTAGCAGGAGGGGCAGAGGGAGAGAATCTCAAGCAGACTCACACTGAGCGCAGAGCCCAACGCAGACCTTGATCCCAGGACTCTGAGATCATGACCTGAGCTGAAACCAAGAGTTGGTCACTTAACCAACTCCGCCACCCAGGCACCCCAATACTTCTTAATTTTCTTAAGACTTTTTCCCCTTTTCTCAATTTTCTAAATAAGCTATATTGCTTTTATGATTGAAACAGAACAATGAGGGGAGCCTCGTTGGCTTAGGCTGTGGAGCGTGTGACTCTTGATCTCCAGGTTGTGAGTTTGAGCCCCACACTGGGTGTGGAGATTACTTAAAAATAAAATCCGGGGCGCCCTGGTGGCTCAATGGTTAAGCATCTGACTCGTGATTTCGGCTCAGATCATGATCTCAGGGTCATGAGATCGAGCCCAGCGTTGGGCTCCACACTGGATATGGAGCCTGCTCAAGATTCTCTCTCCCCCTCCGCCCCTCCCCTGCGCTCGCTCACTCGCGCTCTCAAAAAAATAAAAAATTAATGAATTTAAACCTTAAAAAAATAAAATAAAACAGAATAATCAATGTGTAAAAAATGCCTTGGTGATTCTATTTCTGAAAGGCTATCCTATGGACACAATCTTAAGCACAGATAAAGTTTTTTCGTAAAGAGGTTTACGTCACGGTGTTATTTAGAACACAGACCCCAAAGACTGTCCATAAGGGGGGATAGCGAATGAAGGCACGTGTGCTTGGCGGAACACTGTGGCTCCAACCAGAAAGCTGATGGAAAAGCATCTCTGCGCCTGTATTAGGTAAAAACAGCAGGGTCCAAGCCATGGATGCATTAACTCCTGGCCACCATGAAACAAGAGCAAGCGCAGAAGAGAGAAGGGGGCTGCGGTGTTGGCCAAGGAAGACCAGCATGGTCCACAGAGGTCATCCACTCAAAGGCCGTTAGCAGCTTCCCACTTCCTTTTTTTTTTTTTTTTTTTTTTAAGATTTTATTTATTTGAAAGAGAGAGTGAGAGAGAGAGAGAGCACAAGAGGCGGGAGAGGGAGAAGCAGACTCCCGCTGAGCAGGGAGCCCGATGCGGGACTCAATCCCGGGACTCCAGGATCATGACCTGAGCCGAAGGCAGTCGCTTAACCAACTGAGCCACCCAGGCGCCCCAGCAGCTTCCCACTTCCTATCACAACCAAAAGCTGGCTGTTTGAAAGGGACGAGTGACTTCTAAGTCACCTTTTCACTTTTTTTTTTTTTTTTTTTAAAGAGAATCGAGAGAAAAGTGTGCTTTGGTACAATGGAGAGGGAGAAAAAAAGCCAGCTCTACGAATATAAAATGGGAAATGATGGACTCTGGTGATAGGTGTTTAGGACTGTTGGGGCCCCAGGAGCTTCTTTAAGTTACACACCGAGACTGGAGCTCAAAGGCACTTATAAATGCACTTAACCTCCTCAGGGCTCACCAGGCCAGGCCAGAATTCTGATGGGGAGACCAGCACCTTTTGCTACCCCCTGCCACCTCCATTAAGTGGGACGGGAGTCCCGTGAACGGAGCCAACCAACACAGTTACCAGCAATCCTGGGCTAAGGCTCAGGAGTGTGACGTATCAAAGGCCAGAAACAGCATGTGGCATTGGGCCTTTTCCTCAATACTTTCTGACTGGAATGTCACAGTTTAGTTGTAATCGAGAGAAAAACAGGAATAAAAACTGAGCTCTACCCGAACATTTCATACCCAGTCTCTCACTGCTCCTGACAATTCTAAGAAGTGGGCACATCTATTGTTCCCATTACACAAGAGGGAATGAAAGACTGAGAGGAAGTCAGCTCCCGGAAGCATTTTAGCTAGCCAAGTGCAGAGACAGCATTCACACGGGGCCATCTGCCCGGGGCCGCACTTCTGATGCCCGGCGGCTGCCTCCCCCTGGCAGGCAGACACCAGCAGCAACAGAATGAAGAGCAAAGCCTGTGAAGAAAGGAGGAGAGTTTTTTAGAGAAAGCTGATGAGATGACAAGGCATTCTGATATTTGTGAGTGGCCTTGATCAGGGGGGTGCGGAACAGCTGGGCTCACTCGGCCTGGCCAGAAGCAACCCTCCCTTCCCACTCTAGCTGCGTGTTGGTGTGCGCGCGCGCACATGTGCACGTGTGTCTGTGTCTTCTCAAGGACTGAGGACCTTTGGAGAGGCCCTTCCAGGACCAGGGCAAAGCCACCCAGTAACTGGGCCTGAGGCCAAGCAGAGCCAGTGCAAATCAGGCTGGCCCACAAGTGTGAACAGGTGGAATGGCCCGAGATGCGAGGGGGGAGCCCCAGTGGCTGCTGGGTGAGGTTAATAGAGCTGTGGTATGTGGGCTCAGGCGATAGGTGGCAGTGCAAACTTCTCCAGCCATGCCGTGTTACCTGAGAGCCAGGAGAGCAGGGAGTTCCGCTTGCCAGGCGGACACCCGACCTGGGTTGAAGGCACTGGAGCAAAAGAGGAAAAGGTCAGCGATGGGTAGGGTGAGGCGACAGAACATGGAGCCACAGGAACAGGATGGAGAAGCAGACCTGCTGGGGGCCAGTCTCCCTTGGGCAGAGAGGGGGCACAATGGAAAGGGGGACATGGCTCTGATGGGGAGGGAGCAGACCAATGAGCCCTGCTCAAAGAGGGGCAGAGGCTCCCACAATGAAGCCATAGCCCCCCGCCCCGCGCCCCCCCCCCCCCGCCAAAATCATCTCTCCCTTCTGGCCACTTCAAGTGGGACCTCCAGGACTGCCTCCAGGTCAAAGGACAGAGCCAAGGACCCTGGTCCAAGCTTCTGAGGCATCGCTGCAGAGAAAAAGTGCCTGGAAGAAATGTCCCATGACCGTGTGCCCTTCTAGACAAGATTTCCCCCAGCTGGCTGGCGAGAGGTGCTCTTGGGAGGGGCCGAGAAGTCCTCCCTAGGTCCAAGGCATCCAAGCAGGGGCCCCCCGCGCCAAAACCCAGCTCTGGAGCCTTGTCTCCCACTGCTTCCTTCCTGGAGCCTGCTCCTGCTGGGAGAGGGGCAGAGCTGTGTCACACCAGTGGATAAGCTGAGCTGTATCAGTATACAGGGGTACCCTGGCCACCTGCACACAGGGTCCTCTTTGTCAAAGGACAGAAACAGGCATAGCACAGAGGCTCTCCACGAGCCACACACACACATCAGTGTGTGGCCTGTCCTCCAGCCACAAAGTGGACTTTCACTTTCCAGCCTGCAGCAACCCGGGGCCCCAGTCAAGGCTCAAAGGGGCCATGCAACTAGCAAGGAGCTGATCTGGTGCCCACTCCGGCCACAAGGCCCCCTGGCAACAGGAGCCTGAGCCACCCAGGACTAGAGAAGCAGAAAGCACCACAGTGACCAGAGCGGCCCTTCCCTGGACTTCCCACAACCTCTCCTGGAGGGTGTGTCCAGTCCCCTCTTTGCCCCAAGTCCCTTTATGCCATCAGAACCAGCCCTTAACCAAAAGGCAGTAGCTAAGCCCCCTGAAAAGCCAAGCCCATCTGCACCCTGCCTGGTAAACAGGCCCTGGCCTGACTCCTGGCCATGGACACCCTGGACGCCCTCACTCCCCACCTCAATTCCCCTGCCCCCGCCTCCGTGAGCAAGACCCTGTAGCCTCCATCCACCTGCCTTCTCTCATTCTTCCCACTGCTACGGCTACTAGACCAGCTGGCCCAGTCTGCTGTCGTACATCCTCCCTGCTCCAAGGCCAGTCAGGGCTTCTTGCTTCCTATCACAACCACATGCTGTCAGCTTTCCGGGGCTCCCCGACACGTCCTTACTCCCCATGGTCCCCCCCAACCAGGTACGCTGGAGGGCAGCACGGAGGCAGCCCAGTGACTCACCAGAGGTGGGCGAGGACAGGGCCATGGTCCCATAGTAGGAGAAGGCGCCTGTCTCAAACTTCATGTTCTCCTTCCCGGCCTCCACCTCCACCTTCCCCTGGAAGAACACAGGGTCAGGGTGACAAACAGGCTGAGAAGGAAAGCTCAACTGAGGGAAAAAAAGGACGAGGTAAGAGGGAGAAGTGAGGGCGAGGAAGAGTTGGTTCCAGAGCCCTGACGAGCTCAGGGGCCCTGACCTGGAGGCTCCAGGGTAGCCTCTCAAGAAGAGGACAGGCAAAGGGGGAGCAGAGGCTCAGGGGCAGGCCACACGCAGGAAAGCCCTGCATCCCCCAGCCATCTCAGCAGGTAAAGAGGGCAGAGTGGGCACAGGAGGGCAGGCATGGAGCAGGCTGCTCACCTGCAGGATGAGGATGAAGTAGTCGGCCGGCTTATTTCGGGTGTACAGGTAATGGCGGATGTAGTATTTGTTGTGCTCGTCAAACTTGAGTTCCTGAATGACATCTGGGTACTTGAGCAGCCGAAGCAGGATTTTCTCTGATATCAGAGAGGGGCTGAACTGGGGAACCTCTGTAGGAAGAGAGAAGAAGAAGACTTCACAGGGGGCCCTGGCCGGGCAGCACCGGGAACACTGTCACTGTGCTTGCTCACTGCCCAGGCCCCCCTTCCCTTCGGTTCTGCACCTCTGTGGGAAAGCAGCATCCCTTGGATCCAGACTGGTTAGACTCGGGTCTGCCTGCCTGGGCTGGAATGGTGGTTCCTGCGCTGACAGTGCATGACCTTGGGCCAATTACTTAACCTGTGTCTCAGTTTCCTCATCTGTAAAATGGGATTAAAAACTTCATAGGGTTGGGCACCTGGGTGGCTTAATCGGTTAAGCATCTGACTCTTGGTTTTGGCTCAGGTCATGATCTCGGGGTGGTGAGAATCAAGGCTGCATTGGGCTCTGCAGCCCGCTTGAGAGTCTCTTCCTCTCCCTCTTCTCCCTCTGCTCACGCTCTCTCTCTCTCTCTGAAATAAATAACTTTTTTTTTTTTAAAGATTTTATTTATTTATTTGACAGAGAGAGAGAGAGAGCACAAGCAGGGGGAGCAGTAGAAGGAGAGGGAAAAGCAGGCTTCCCACCGAGCAAGGAGCCCGATGTGGGACTCGATCCCAGGACCCTGGGATCATGACCTGAGCCGAAGGCAGATGCTTAACCATCTGAGCCACCCAGGCACCCCTGAAATAAGTAACTCTTAAAAAAAAAGAAAAAATTTCATAGGGTTGGGGCGCCTGGCTGGCTCAGTCGGTAGAGCATATGACTCTTGATCTCAAGGTCGCAAGTTAGAGCCCCATGTTGGGTATAGAGCCTCCTTAAAAAACGAAACAAGAACAAAATACACTTGGTAGGGTCATGGTAGGTTAAAGGGGATAATACATGTAAAGCACTTAGACACATGCTTGGCATATGGAAAGTGCTTCATAAATGTTACCATCATTATTATCATTAGCACCATCATCAATATCCTGGCAGGAAAAATAAAGAATTAACACCCTTTAGCAAGTGAGGGTTGGGAAGGAAGTCAGATTTGGGGGGAGGGAGGGAATAGGCAGGAGCTTTTCAAATCAATCACCCAGGTTCCCAAAGGGGCTTTGAATCAGGGGTGAGAAGAGAGGAATGTCATTGATCTAGAGGTGAAGTCCTGCTGGCCCCAGCGTATGCAGGCAGAGGGGAGGGGGCAGTGACGAGAACAGAGCTGGATTCAGGCTCTGAGTACATGAGTCAAGACAAGCGCTATGGACCCATGCCATGTGGAAGGGCCTCTTTCTCCCTCCTCCTCCCCAGCATCCAGGGGATCCCCAGTGCCCACCTCAGGTACTCCCAGTGGTTCTTTTTTTTTTTTTTTTTTGGCCTCCCCCCTCTCCCAGTGGTTATTTTCAGAACTTGAATGCTTCCTAGAAGTTTGCAATGACTACCCATCAACAGAGAAAACAAACCACAAGGAGCACCCCAGGGATGGAGGGAAGCTGCCTCGCCCCCTTTCAGAGGCAGCCATGTTTTCCCTGCACCTTTCACCTGCCACAGCCCTTGTGCCATGGGAAGAAGTAGCCAGAGACCCAGAAGGCCCCCTCCGGGACTGTATCCCACCAACACCTGAGGGCCCTCCTCTTGCTCTTACCCGTGGCCAGGAAGCGATGAGCAGCCAGAAGTAGCTGAGGTGAAATTTTCACCTTGAGCTCATTGTCAGCATCTTTGAAGGCTGAGAAGTCACGTTTGTTCTTCTCAGATACTCGTTTCCGGCTTCGGTTGTCAGCTGTGAGAGAAAGAATCTAGAACTGAGAACACTGTCCCTGCTGACTCCAGAACAGACTAGAACCTGCACGCCAGCTCCCAGCTCTGCAGTCCCGTCTTCCACACACAAGCAGCAGTGCCTGCATCAAGGCAGGGTCCCTGGCTCGATGCCGAGGCACGACGCCAGGGGGAACAAAGGTGGCCTGGTTTCACTGATCTGAGGGGCGAGCCTGCTGCTCACCCTGGCCAATGTGAGGCATCCAGTTCCTGGGCCTCAGGGTGCCGGGCCTCCCACATCCCTGCACTGTGGCCTTCCCACCTAGGGACACCCAGGGAATGAGCAGGCAAGGGGTTTCGGGCAATGGAAAGCCTGGAACTCACTGTACATATCCGACTCGTCCAGGATCTCAGACTTGATGATCTCCTCAATGACGTCTTCCAGCGTGACCAGGCCCAGCACCTCGTAGAAGGGGTCACCTTCACCCTCGTTGTTCACCTTCTGCACGATGGCCAGGTGGGACTTCCCTGGGAGATGCAATGAGTCAGACAAGAGCAAAGGGCCCAGTCATGAGACACCACCACAAAAATGTTAACACATTTGGGGTCATGAGTCACTGGGGTGGGGTCATGGGTGGTTTTTTTTCCCCTTTTCTGTATTTCCTGAAGTTTCTGCTGCAAACAGATACAGCTTTTATGAAAAGGAAAACCAAAAGTATTTTTTTTAATTAAAGATCTTTCATTTCATTAAAGGCATTTCATTAAAGACCTTTTGTTTCATTAGAATGAAAATGGCAAGGTCCTGCCTGGTGCCATGTATCAGGGTCTCCTGAGAGTCCTGGAGAAGGGAAAGACCCACAATGACAACCTGTGGACAGTGAGCCATCGGTTGGAGATGTGTATGCGCCAACTGGACATGGGGCTCCTCAGACGGCCCACACTGCCCACGGGGCCTCCAGGGCCACTCACATTCCTTCACCCCGCTCTCCTTGGCAAAGGCCCCAGCATGTACCCAGGGGCCGTGATACTGCCCAAGGCAAAGGCTCTCAGTTCCCAAAACCATTAACAAATTAGCCCAGGCTGTAATTAGGCCAGGCAAGTACTATAATTAGAGAAGGGCCACCCCTTCAACCTAAAGCAAGAGAAAGTCAGAAGGCAGAGGGAGGGGAGGAGGGACCCTTCACAGAAGCTTTGTCAGGGGGCTGGGAGGGCGGGCAGGGCTTTCCAGGCCCTCCTTCCGGGTTTCTATCCTGTTCCTGTGCCCCTCATTCCAGTGCGTGACGGGAGGGAGACAGCCAAGGCTTGGCCTGCACTTCAGTTTGGATGGAACTGTGTACCCCACACAGGGACACAGGTTTGGAGAAGCCTAAGGGAAAAAGCCCTGGGAGAGCTGGGAAGGTCAAGCCAGGGTCTCCTGGGCAGCTTCCCCTTCACAACCAAGTCTGAGGGCCCCATCAAAGGACTTCTCTGTAGAGGGCATTTTCCAAGGCTCCAAGGCCACTGCAGATCCCCCAACCCCAGGATGTGCTCCTCAGAACTCCAGAGAGGTGCCAGTTCTCAGGACCAGCATTTAAAAAAATAAAATAAAGGAGAAAGATATCAGAGTACGACACATGTGATGGGAGGGGGGGGTACTGTTTTGTGCAACTTTCACTATCACGTGCCAGTCACTGTGATACACTCATCTCCAGCTCCGAGTTGTGGTCAAAAAACTTTCAGCACCTTGCTAGAACTATGCACCTAGACCAGACCTAGACAGAACCATGGCTAGACTTGATCAAAGACTTGCCGGTGTCTTCTAGACGTGAGCCAACTAGAACAAGAGACCCATCAAGGGCCTCCAGCGGGCAGCAGCTACTCAGAGCCAGGACCCTGGGGTCTGGCCCCCCGGGCCTCTCTGCTCTGCCTGCTGGAGGCTGCCCCCCCAAGAGTGCCTTCTAAAGAGAGAAACAATGCTCTCCGTGGTCTAAGGCAGTCGGCTAAACTATGCCATCAGATGGGAAGCTTTGACCACCTTCCAGACTGGCACGCTCTAAGACCGGTAATGCCCAGTGTTGGGGGAAACAAGCGAAACAAGCATGCCCTCACAGGTCCTCGGGATGATGGGCAGGTAAACGGGCGCACTTCAAGAGGCCAATCTGGCAGCATGACTCAAAACGAAAGGTCCCTGGGTGCCTGGGTGGCTCAGTTGGTTAAGCGACTGCCTTCGGCTCAGGTCATGATCCTGGAGTCCCGGGATCGAGTCCCGCATCGGGCTCCCTGCTTGGCGGGGAGTCTGCTTCTCCATCTGACCCTCCCCCCTCTCATGCTCTCTCTCTCTCATTCTCTCTCTCAAATAAATAAATAAAATCTTTTAAAAAAAAAAAAAAAACGAAAGGTCCCTAACCTTGGACTCAGAAATTCCACTGGTAGGAAGTTGGATATAATCTTCTCCAAAGCAGGAAGACACAGAAGCAAAGAGGTTCAACAGAAGAACATTGTTTTTAACAACCTCAAACCAGAAACCACCTAAATCAATAGCAATGGACCAGGAGTACTGAGGGGGGCCGCCACTGCTCTGGGGAAAAGGCAGCAGGCTGAATGGACAGAACGTGGAATGAAGCCCAACACAGGCTGCTGGCGGAAGAGCAAGCAGAGGGACAGACTGCATGGTGCCCGCTTTCTCTGCAGAGACTCGGGGAGCTGGGGGAGATGCTGAACTGCCTTGAAATGCAGAGAAGAGGTAACAGTGGTCTCCTCCCGCGTTAAGTAGAGCTTGGGGGAGGGGCCCTACTACCCCTCCTTACTCTGGCTCCTTCTAACATTGTTCTATTCGATGGGCAGGTTTTACTCTAGAATTTTTTTTTTTTAAGATTTTATTTATTTATTTATTTGAGAGAGAGAATGAGATAGAGAGAGAGAGCATGAGAGGGGGGAGGGTCAGGGGGAGAAGCAGACTCTCTGCTGAGCAGGGAGCCCGATGCGGGACTCGATCCCGGGACTCCAGGATCATGACCTGAGCCGAAGGCAGTTGCTCAACCAACTGAGCCACCCAGGTGCCCCAACTCTAGAATTTTTTTAATTGAGAAAAAAATCAGGGGAAAACAAAAACAAGGGGAACACACAGAGGGAAACTAGTGAGAGTCTAGGGTGAGCAAGGACCCTCTGTGCCTCAACTGGCACAGACTAAGTCCCGGGGAATGGGATATGTCTGAAGGTGGCTCAGTCAGCAGAGCCTTGCTCAGAGCCCAGAAGTCAGAGCCCCTACGCAGAAGAGACACAGCTTCAATAACCTGAGAAAAACGTCCTCCTCCCCACCAAACCTCCAGTTAACCACGGGCTCACAACAAATCCTGACACACAGTCAGGGGTCGCACTGGGCCACACCGGGAAAGGCTGGTGGCTTCGCTAAAGGAGGGAAACATCCGTCGTGCAGAGGAAATGAGCTGATTCCTTGAGCCCAGTCTTGCCGCCACTCTCAGCCCTCCAGCCCTCCTCTCTCTGAGGATCCTTTGTGTGTGGCATCGGTGGTGCGTGCGGGCGCCCTCTAGAGACAGGAACTTGTAGGTGTCCAAACCCGGGACACCGCCCACAGTCAGCCCTGCTGGGAGCGCTGAAAGCCCAGTGTGGGGTGCTGACTGTGGCTGGCTAGCTGGGGCCCCACACACAGGTGCTGGGCTGGGGGACAGTAGGCTACCCTCTGCTGGCCCAGCCATGGGACTCTGAACTGCGTTTGCCTTTTTCTAATTTCTCTGCCCGGAGGAGGCTTTTTTTTTTTTTTTTAATGTTCTTAGCAGTTGGGTATAGAGTTTGGAGGGTGCAGGAGAGGGCTGGGCCAGAGATTCTCCTCCTTGGCCAGAGAACCTCTCTTGCCAAGGTCACCACTGACCTCCAGTGGTGGGGTTTCATGCTCAGGCTGCAGCTTCTGACCAGGGGTCACTCTCTCCCGCTTCCTGGAAACCCTCCCTCTCCTTGGCTTTCAGGCACACAGCTCTCCTGGTGTTCCTCTGACCTCAGGGGCTGCTCCTTCTCCCTGACCTCTTTATGTAAGAGGGTCCCAGGGCTCAGTCCTTGGACCTGGTCCCTTGCCTCATGACTTTAAATACAAACTGTATGTCAAGGTGTCTCCAATAAACACTTGGGGCCCATCCCTGTCCTGCATCCTCCAAACTCTATACCCAACTGCAGGCTGACAGCGAGCCAGCTCCTCCGGATGCCTAACACCTTGAACTCCACATGGCCCAAACCAAGTTCCTGCCCTTTCCCCGCCCAGCCTTCCTCATCTCTGTCTGTCCAGTCCTCATCTCTGTCTGTCCAGTAGATCAGGCCATGGGGGAGTAAACTGCGCCTCCTCTGTTTCTCTACCCTTCTCTATCCAAACTTTCCATCAGATCCCGTCAGTTCTGCCTGCATCGGACACCTAGACTCCAGCCACTTCTGGTGGCTTCCACTGCTACTATCAGTCTGGGCTACATCATCTCCTCCTCATCCACACAGCTAGACTAGCCTCTGGTCAGCTCCCTGCTTTATCCCAGAGCCCGGGTTGGCTCTCAACACAGCAGCAAGAGGGGCACAGTCAGGTCACCTCATGCCCCACCAAGTACCTCCAAGCGGCTCCTTGACTCACTGCAAGGAAAAGCCCCACCCCCCACAGTGGCCCCGGTCTCAGGGCCCTTGATGCTGACCCTCTCCCGTCCCTACTCCTTTCTCTCCAGCGCTCAGGTCAGCCACAGGCCTCCTTGCTGTTCCTCATACAAGAGGCTGCTCCCTTTGCCTGGCTTGCTCCTGCCCCACATAACTGGGTAGCTTGCCCCCGCTGCTTGAGGTCTTTGTCCAAATGTGGCCCTTAAAACTGCGACCCCTCCTCCAGCACCCCAACCCTAGTCATTAAAGCACCTAAAATACATGATATAATATGCTTATTCAGGGCGCCTGGGTGGCTCAGTTGGTTAAGCGACTGCCTTCAGCTCAGGTCATGGTCCTGGAGTCCCGGGATCGAGTCCCACATCGGGCTCCCTGCTCAGCGGGGAGTCTGCTTCTCCCTCTGACCCTCCCCCTCTCATGCTCTCTCTCTCTCTCTCTCATTCTCGCTCTCAAATAAATAAAATCTTAAAAAAAAAAATGCTTATTCATTCTATTTATCGTTTATGGCCCGTCTTCTGCTAGATTTTGAGCTGCATCACAGCAGGGGCTTTAGTCTGTGTCCCCAAAACTCAGAATGGTGAGTGGCACACAGCAAGTGTTTAATGGATGGATATTTGTGGAATGAATGACTCAGTTCACACGTTTCCTTAGGAGAAATGTAATCAATGCAAAGGGGGAAAGGGGTGAAGACTAGAAGAATTCTTTTGAATTTTAGTAATTAAGAAGTTTCTATAATTCAAAAATCATTTTTTATTTACCTTTTAAAATAAAAGAGCTGGGGGCGCCTGGGTGGCTCAGTTGGTTGAGTGACTGCCTTCAGCTCAGGTCATGATCCTGGAGTCCCTGGATCGAGTCCCACATCGGGCTCCCTGCTTGGCGGGGAGTCTGCTTCTCCCTCTGACCCT